AATTAAAAATTTACAGTGCTTTTTATATAAAATACATTTATTACCATATTTAATGGCACTGTATTTTTGTGTGTGTGTTATTAGGGATAAAGTCCAGGGCCTTGTAAATACTCAGCAAATGCTCTACTGCTGAGTGCCCCTCTAGTTCATTTAAAAAATTATTTTGAGATAGGGTCTTGCTAAATTGTTCAAGCTGACCTCAAATTTGTGATCTCACTTCAGCTATGGAGTATCTGGGGATTGAAGGCCAGGATCCCACTATCTGGACTGTATTACATTTTACAAATGTCTCATAGTAAAGTAAGCTTGCAGACTTTATTCCAAATATATAGAATATGGACTGGGGATTTAGCTCAGTGGCTTAAGGGCCTGCTTGGCAAGCATGAGATCATGAGTTCAATCCCCTGTACCAAAAAAAAAAAAAAAAAATATATATATATATAGATAGATAGATAGATAGAGAGAGAGAGAGAGAGAGAATACAGTGTTGTGAAATTTGTGAGTATGCCAGCTTCTTAAACTGTATTATTTGGTTCTGATAGGTAAGGAAGAAGTTGAGAGATCAGAATGGACATTTTTTTTTTTTTTTTTTTTTTTTGGTACTAGGGATCAAACTCACAACCTTGTGTTTGCCAGGCAGGTGCTTACACCACTGAGCTAAATTCCCAGTGAATGGATATTCTTGCCAAAGTTCTGAACAGGTTTTTTTTTTGTTTGTTTTATTTATTTTTTGGTACCAGAAATCGAACTCAGGACTTTGTGCTTGTCAAGCAAGCACTTATGCCACTGACCTATATCCCTGGCCCTCGGAACAGCTTTTTAATCCACTCTTAAGTTTTGTATTTTACCCAATATGGAGATAAAATTTGTCACTTTTACTCTCATGTTTATTATTCTGTTTTCCCCCTTTCCTGCTATGTTGATGGGTGAGATATTGGCTTTCTACAGGTTGCAGTTTATAATTTAATGTAAACATGTTTTAACATTTTAAAGTTGTCCCACTCCCACAGCTGGTCAGCTCCTCAACCTACTCCCAAACCATTTCCTGCATGATTCAGCTATTTATTGTTAAATGACAAACTATCACATTATTTCTCAATTTTAAAAAAATGGGGGCTGGGGATTTAGCTCAGTGGCATAAGCACCTGCCTTGCAAGCAGGCAGTCGTGAGTTCAATCCCCGGTATAAAGAAAAAAGAAAAAAAAAAAAAGTGTAAAAAAATGTGCATGCTATTTTTTAAGATCTGTGAGTTGGCTAATCTAAGTAGGCTGTTCTGCTGAGTTGCTTTTGGTACACGCTTAGCAAGTAGCTTAGCTGAGACTGTGTTATTCAGCTTTCCGGGGACTACACATAAGAAATGATTATCTAGTACATGTCTAGTACACAACTTGTAAGACAGAAAGTGCTCTTAGCTTACTGTTTAAAAGGGTTAGTCCACAATTGTTTAGCCTGTTGTTTGGGCCTGTGACAAGCAACACTTTATGGGAAGAGCACATGGTAGAGAAAGCTACTCACCTCATGGAAGCAAAAGAGAGAAAGGAAGTGGCCAGGACACTAATACAGTGCACTTCTCAAGGCATGCCACTAATGGCCTAATTTCTTCCCATGAGGCTGTGCTTCTTAAATGTTCTACCAGCTCCTAATACTACCATAGATTGGTACTGTTATATAAGAAACACTTACTTAAACCACTGTAGACTACAACATTAAAATGGCTTCACTTATATGTCTAATGCCTCACCTGGGATGGGTGGAATGGTTTGAATATAGCTGGCATTTCTGCACACAGTTCTGCTTGTGCAGCAGTCTTTATATGGTATTTCCCAAGACAGTGAAAATGGAAGCTACGGAGCCTGTAAGATCAAACTCAGAGAGTACCTAGCAATACATCCACAGCATTCTATTACTTGAAACAACTTCTAGGGACAGGATAATTTTTTTTTTTTTTTTTTTTTTTTTTTTTGGTACTGGGAATTGAACTCACGACCATGCGCTTGCAAGGCAGGCATTTATGCTGCTGAGCTAAAGCCCCAGCCCCGGGCCAGGATAATTTTAAGAAGAAGGTATTTACATGTCACGTCTTGAGTGTAAAAGTGGCTTACATTTATGGGAATGGGAGGAATTGTTGGTTGCCATATTTCCATAAAATCTCCTGCTCTACAGAATAGAATGAGAATGGGGTCAATTAAAATCTGGACACTTTTCATAAATTTTTATTTAACAATCTTTCAGTGGCAAATAGAATAGTTTGTAGTATTATGTAAAACCCTGCAGTGAGGAGAGAATAAATATTCTTTTCAAACAAATGAAATGCACTTTGAAATTAGGCACTGGAATTTCAGTCTTGGCTCTATCTATCAGTCCTACCAGTAGGATTTTGGGCAACATTGCTGTGAAGTACTTCATTTATTTCCCCACATATTTACAGGATTACTTTGATAATTAAATGAGTAAATACATGTAAAATTCTTAGAAAAATCCCTAACACAGAAATACATAAGAACACATGAGCTTTAAAAATAAAAATTGCATGCAGCCTATTATGCAACGTAGTGACAGCTGTTTGAGCAAGCCTCCTGGAGCTGCAGTCTTCTGTATTACTAATCATTAATTCTGATGACTTCTCTGTTTCTCTCACTTCCTGACAAAAAAAAGTAGGAAGTTTCTTCTCTACTCAGTGTTATTCATTTCATTATGTACTAAAAGTTTCTAAACTATAATTTCTGGTCAGTGGAGAACAGGAGATCACACAAACTACACTTTAGCCACTGGAATTGTTTCAGGTATGGTGGTATCAGAGAATAATACATACAGCTAAAAGCTCTTTCACAAATAGGACTTGACCTCCCTGTTTAAGAGTCTTCATAAATTCTTTCAATAGGACATAGGCTTGAAGGGAAGGCATGTATACAATAAATGCTGTGTGTTTTGATGGCATAATAAACAATGTGCTTTCTTGTTTGGAGCTAAATGAAGTTAGGATACAAATCGAACTTCCTAATTTACTACCTTGTATTTTTGAGTAGGTTATTTAAACTGTTTTAGATTTTTGATCTATTAAACATAAAGAGGGGTTGAATGGAGGAGATGGTAATGGGAAAAAAGAAGCATCAAGAAGTGGTAAATTAATTAATGATCAACTTGGAACACCCAAACAATCTGTGTCAGCATGGTGCTGGGTATGGAAGACCCACCTGAGGATCGTTGCTGAAATGACTTAAAAGGAGATGGGGAAGGGAACACTGCATGCTGCTGATTTCCCTGGAGAATTCACCTATTCTGTGGAGGAGCTCAGGTCCTCACTGTTGCCTGGGATGGCTGCTGTTCTGGGTGTGCTGCGTCTTTGTTTTGAGTGTCACTTGCTGGGTCCGGGGCAGTTTCCTCAGCCTTCTGGCACAGATCCTTCACCCAGAGGGTGCAGACTTTCTAACTCCTACCACTGAACTTTGGGCTTTCCCAGTACAGATCGCTGATAGGACTTGCATGAGTGGGCTCTAGGCTGGATTCATATAGGACATTACCATGAGATCCAGGCCCTGGGTTCCATTCTTAGGATCTGTAACACATAGATCTCTCACTCCTCTGCATTTGACTTTTGGGGTGAATATTATAAAATAATCCTCTAAATTGACTACAAGATATGTCATGCACAGGTACACATTCTTGATGTGTATAATCTAAAATATTATGTATATTATTACATACATCAAAAATGTTCTAATAAAATTAAAAAGATAAATACACAGCTAATTCCTATTTTGCCTTGAGTGGTCAAATGAGGGTACAAACATCAAGGCCTACCAAAGTGTTTGGCACATGGAAGCCACTCAGAATGTATTCCTTTGCTTCCTTCCAGAACCAAGAATCAAGTATTGCAGAATTCATAGCTACCATTTAGGTTGCATATATTGTATTTCTAAAGAAGAAAAGAGTTTTGGAAGAACAACTATTGGTAGAAACTACTGCTTCTTTAATGCAATTTAACTTTTACTACTGTGGATTGTCCTAATATTCTAAGACTAGTTAATAGTTATGCAGTAATATAGATTCATTTTATGAAATAATTTTGTGTTCTCAGTTTCTGTACTGTAAAATACGAATTAATTTCCCAGTTATCAACACAATCATGGAAAAACGGCCTAAAAGAAAAGGGGAAAAAAATAGTAAAATTCCTAAAATTTTAAACAGACAAAAAATGTCATGCAAAACGCCAGCGGCTCCTTATTCCCTTGGGTGGTGTATTACTGGTTACCAGAATTCATTATAATATTCTGGACATACAGGATATTCATGATGATCAGTTACCTAGTGTTCAAGGAGTTTGATGACAGTGACCTAATGTCCTAGGCTGATAGGACCACACTCCCACTGACGGCTCTCCAGGATGAGGGTGGTCATTTTTAAAATACCTGCCCTTGAGCTTGGAACTTGTGCGTGTGTGGGAGGGAGGAGGCCACGATCGTTTGCCCTCCCCCGGGGGCGTCACCCAGCGGCGTGCGGGCGGCGGCAGCCCCCACGTGGCAGGTCTGGACTGAGCAAGGCGCGGCGGGGCTCCGGGCCTTCCCGCCAGTCAGCCTGCGCCGGCGCCTGGGTCCTCCACCGCCAGGGGGCGGGCGCGGCTTCCCGGCGGCGGGGCCCATTGGTCGCGGAAGGGCGGCGTGGGCGGGAGGAGGCCCGGGGGCGAGCTGGCTTCCTCCGGGCCGCTGGAGACGTGAGGGGCGGCCGGCCCAGCCCGGGAGGAAGCGCGACGCGAGCTGGAGGCGGTGCCCGGCGGGACTGACAACCGAGAGGCCGGAGGCGGCGCGCGGCGGGAGCGGCCCAGCCGGTGAGAGGCGGCAGGAGCCGGAGCGGCGGCCGAGGAGCGAGCGTTGGCTGGGCGGCCGGGAGCGGATCCGCGGCGGTAACGGGTCCGAACTGCCACCGCGCCCAGCATCCCCGGCCCGGCCGCTGCGCTGTGCTGCGCGAGGGCGGGGCAGAGCCCGGGTCGCGGCTAGCAGGGCGGGAGCGCAGGCTTCGAGCTCCGGGGCGGTGGACCTGAGTGTTGGGGTTGCATTCCGTGGAGGGCCGTCCTGACTTGCAAAGTTTTGGTGTCCTTAAGCTGGAGGTGCTTTTTATTTTTACAGATTGTTTCTAGCCCATTGGCCTCCGACGTCATCAAAGAACGTGGTACTCATTTTCATTATTTATTTTGCTATGATACCCGCTACTGTGTACTAGGACGATTTAATGACGCCTTGTTGCGGATTTCAGATTGTTGTTTCCATCGCCCTCAATTTAGTTGAAAAAACCTTGTTTCTTTTTATTTAGCTATGTGCGGATAGAGTAACTATTTTAAATTGCTTATTGCGTGCCAGGCTCTGTTGCCAAGTGCTTTCACGTGTACATTTATTTACTTGTCGCAGTTCACTGAATTTTATCTGATATTCCCAGTTTTACAGATGAGAATATGAGTACTTAAAGAAGTAAAGGTTGGTGACTGCAGCAGATCCCCCTTTGGAACTGTGAACACCTTGCAGGACTAGTGTACTGTCCTGTTAGATTTTTTGCAGAATTGTGCTGTCCTGTTAGATTTTTTTTTTTTTTTTTTTTTTTTTTAATGCAGGACTAGTGCTATCCTGTTAGGTTTTCCAAGTTTTTGAAAACACTACTGTTATAATAAGGTGCCTCAAGGAATGCAAATATCTCATTTAACTTAGTAAAAATTAGTAAGTTCCCGAATGCCATTCAGCAAGCAATAAAGGGGTTCTCTATCTGGACTGGTGGTTGATTTCAGAAACCAGCATAAGTGCTCCTATAAGGTAGACCAAAATCACACATATGGTTACAGTTACCATGTTTCATTTATTTATTCATCCCTTGATGGATCTTGGTGATTTGTGTATGTGTGTACTAGAGACAAAGTTACAGATACATCTCAAACTGTGAGTCCGTTCCTGTTGGTTTTCATAATCTCTTATTTAAAAGGTTTAAGATATTATGGTAATAAGTGTTCTACCTAATGAAACCACTCATTACCTGCAGTTGGTGATCATTAAGTGAGTTTTGAAGTGCATTGGTCAACAGAAGTGAATTTTTAATTATTTCTCTTGATACGTTTTTTAAGAAAATGTTACAGTTGAAACTTTCTGATACTCTTTGCAAGTGGCTGCTAACTGGTATTTATTTATTTATTTAGTTGTGTGTGTGATATTGCGATAGAAATAGTGTATAGATGCTGTGTTTTATCCATGCTCTTCAGGCAGTGGAACCATTTCTTTTTCTTTTTTCTTTTTTTTTTTTTTTGGAACCGTTTCTTTGAGAGAAGTCTGACGGACACACTGTTTCTACTTTGGTGCATTTTGGTTCTATAGACAGCTTAAAGACAGGATAGTGGAGTGGATTCTTAAACACAGAAGAGCAAACTGTGACTTCTCTTTTGGTGTAAAGTAACACAGTTACTGGCAATGAAGATAGCAGTTACACTAGGTGAAAATTTGTGCCTTTCTCTAATCTTTCTTGTTTTTAGTAGTCTGAAATGGATACTTGATTATCTTATTTATATTCTTCTTAATAAGTAAAATACATGAAGGTAGGTTTTTTAAAAAAATCATTCTTTAATATCTCTGTCCTTCAGTCTCCCCCGAGGCTGCAGAATTAGGGTGTTTACATTATACTTTAAACAGCTGTAGAATTCTTGAAGAAGCAAACAGTATTGTGTAGAATACTGTCTTATTGCATTTTGATGTTTGTTCTCTGAGTTCCAGAAATTTAATCACATTTCTTTAACTGGATTATAGCCTTTTGAGCAAAATCCTCCTTTGATTAAAAACTACAACATATTTGAGTAATTTAAAATCTAGTAACCTGTTTCAGCCTTTGCTGAGTGGAGTTCTTTTTCTTTTCTCGCCACATTTCTCCAGATTTAGTCATTGCCTCCCTCCCCCTCTTCCGCCCCCACGGAGGCCTGTCTGGAAACCTGCTAATTTCTACTCCTTGTTCAGAAAAAATTGAAAATTCTTGTCATTTTTTTTCCCTAAATCTGCTTTATTTACCCTGTGCCCTTTCTGTGCTTATGGAATGGTATACTGTAGCTCTGAAGTTCTTAGAGCAGAGCATGAATGAGAATCACCAGGGGAACTTGTTGCTTCAGAGAACTTGATATGATCTTGCATTGAATTTATTCCCATAGGTTGTAAGGCACACCATTTTACATACTACTAGGAAACAAAAAGTGTGATTATAAATCTCACTGCAAGTTTAGTCATGTTAATGGGGAGAGCAGTGTACCTCTTAAAATCAGTAATAAAGGGTTTTAGGTGTCAGGAACTAAGGGGCGCCTTACTATGTTAAAGTTTTACTATGAGGCAAGATGAGATAAAAGAATTATAACAGCTTTCTTCAGATATTTTGCCACGTGAAGTGTCTATAAAAACATTTATATATAAAGTGACCTTACTTGTGAATGGTTTGTAATGAAGGTTATACTGGTGACTGTTAATAAATGCATCTTAGGTATATCTTGAGGGATCTTGTACTTTGGTTTTACCACGTTGGATTTTACTCCTTTTCCTTTCCAATCATTTCTACATTCTGTTCCAAAGCCTCAGAGTCCCCTGAAATATTTACTTAACCCTAACCCTAATGTCACTTTGACATCAGGTGCAGCATGACGGTTTGATTTGGTCTTTTCTGTCTTTCTATTTTGGTTAGAGTCTGCGGCCAATATTGCCAGTGAGCTGAATATACACATACCCACCAGTACACCAGCTGTGTACTGAGCCATCATGAGTAGTTTTAGGATATGGTTAACATCAAGCCTACATCAGAGTAGACCAGAACTCTGGGGGCCAACTCAAAAAGAAAAGCTGTGGTATCCTGTTGGATGCTAAAAGAATATAAGTTAGGACAGTTCTATTTCCAGTAATGAGAATTCAGTGAAAAGCCAAACCACCTGCTATGGTGTACCCTTTAGTGGTGGAGAAACTTGCTTAGCTGTGTTAGATTTGGCAAGGAGGGACAGAACACAAGTCCAGTTTGGTTGTAATCTCTTAACATGTGTTTGGAAAACAAAGTGAAATGCTTGTTGATCAGCTGGAATATTTCCCAAATCAGATATCTCACATTTCTGATGAGGAATGAATAACTCTAGATTTCTATAGCTGATTTACCTGGACTGGAGGAGTATTGCAAAATTTTGACATTGAGGTCACTCGTGTTGAGAGTTCTGCTCTCAGAAAGTAGATGTGTGGTCTGTCAGGCTTGACTATTTCACTCTCCTCTAAGACTTGGGACAAAGTCAGTCTAGACCAGACATTTCCAAATGACTGAACTAACTCGTTTTTAGTGTTCTGGTACTATTAAGTATTTTATGAAGTTAATAATTAGATTTTAAACACCACATTCTATTAGATGTGCAATATAATGATAGCAGCTCAGATAGCATACTGAGTTTTTAAATGTTAATAATCCTTCAAATGAACGTAATCTTTTCACCCTTCTCCATTTGTCATTTTAAAAGTTTGTTCAGCCTGGCAAAGATGTATGTATGGTGGCCTTTGGATGAGATGGAATGTTTGGTAGTGGTCTCTTATTTACTACAGAAATAACTTGTAAAGGAAAGTCTTTTAATAGCTAAGTATTTGGAACTTTAAAAGTTGGTCAAGCATCAGATACAGAGTTCTCTTTGCTTTTTTATGCCTGTCATATGCAGGTACGTAAAAGATACAACAGTGTTAACTTCCCACTAAAATCATAGTTAATGAAACGTGGATTAATTTGGTATGATTGGTTTTTATTGATTTATTTTTGTCTCCTGAGATTTGGAAGCATTAGTATCTAGGTTCATTCCTGCCTTCACTCTAGATGGACAGTTTCATCTATAGAAAAGAAAGCATGTTTTTGAAGGTTGTTGTTTCCTCTAGAAAACATGCTGCTTTCCATGAAGAGTAGTCAATTAGGAAAATGTATGGTAGAGCACAGACTTTAGAATTGTCTGATCAGGCCTAGCTCTGTAGTAGTATTGTTAGGAGAAGCAGTGGAAACTCTATGGAAGTTGTGTATCCTAAAATAACCCCAGCAGAAAATGTAGGACTATTCTGGGACCATCACAAAGTTCTAAATTCTTCCATTTTAGATTTTTTTGATTAAAAACATTTTTCTCTTTCATTCTTGTCTCACAAGTTGGCAAATTGTAACTCATAGACCTATGTGATCCACAAGCCAAGATTGATTTTTCACATTTTTTAAGTGGGGAGAAAAAATAAAAAGTAGAAAAATTAACAGTATATTAAAATTATAGGAAATTCAAATTTCATTGTCTAAATATAGCTGAATTTGAACATGGGTGGATTGTTCATTTTCACATGTTTGATGGTTGCTTTTCAGCTATCGGTGTAAAGTTGGGGCAGTATAATGGTCCTCTAACAGAAGTTTCCCAGTACTCATCCTGTTTTACACAGATACACAGTTATTTATTACGTGTGTTTTTAATGTTATACTCTTTAGTTATGAATATGAGAAAATACCATAGTGGTTTTCATAGTTGTAGTAGTATTCTTTTCATTTCAGGATTGTCTCTTTTTCCTGTGTATTTTAAATACACAGCTTAATATATTATTTCCTGATCTTGTGCTTTATTAGTCTGGGTTCTCTAGAGAAACAAAGCCAAGAGGCAATATCTAGACCAGATAATAATGGATAATATGTTGCCATGTAAATAATAGCTGTGTATAGATACATAGATTATAAATACAGATGGTGCCACATACACCTATTGGTATATAGATAACAGATATGTATTTTTCATCTATAAATGTGAAGATTATATGTAAGCAGATAGGAAATATAGGAATAGCAATAAATTCTATGTTCTATAGATAGATATCTTCTATGATAAACTACATATTCTTGTACATATGTAATTTGTTGTAAGCAGTTGTTCCATATAGGTTGGAGGCTGAGAAGTATTGGTTCTGCATTTGGCAAGCCGGCAGCCCAACAGAGCCAGTAGTATGGTTCTAGTCTGTATCCTGATATATTCTCCCAGTTTAAAGACACAGTGAATTCTCCCTCTGTTAGAGAGGAGTTTTTCTGTACTCTTATGCACTATCAGCCTAAAAGAGCTTCAAAGGACGTGGGGTTACTCCTTACTAGAAAACTACCGTCAGTCCCACAGACACTGGGTAGGTGTCCGCTAACCCATTTCAGTTCTGTTACTTTACCTGGAGTTACTGTCAGATCCGCCCGGTGGAGGGCTCAGTTTCCAAGACCACCCCTCTCACCTTAGGTAAGAACCTTAGTTTTTACCCGTGTTTCTGATGAACTGGCTGTAAATTAAGTGTTCCAACAACTTCTTCCTGGGTTTCAACTAATTTGCTTCAGTGACTCACAGAACTCATAGAAGCACTTATGAGTGACCCGTTTGTGCTATAGGTTATTATAAAGGATGCAGATGAAAAGGTGCCTATGTGCGGTGTGTCAGAAGTGACCCAGAACTTCCGTGGCATCTCTGGATCCTGCCCCCCACCCCCCGAGCTTCCATGTCCAAAACCTGAGAGTTTTCCAGACTCTTCCCTTTGGGAGTTTTATGAAGACTTTGTTGCATAAGCATGCCTGAAGCATGGACAGCCATGTTAAAATGTGCTGGAATGAAAAGAAGACTGAATGCATTAGATTGAAGGGGCACCCAGAGATCTTTTTGGACTGTTGATACAGCAGTTTTACCTTCATGGTTGGCAGTGGAACCCTCTAGAATTAGGAGGGCTTTATGAACTACTGTCAGACAAAGGTTGGTCAGAGAATTTATGTCTGGCTCCAGAACAGAAAAGTGGATGAAGTTTAGGGCTTCTATGATTTGTTATGGGGAAGAAAAATTTAAGGTTTGATATCCTGCTTTGGTCAGGGGAATTACGAGCCAAGAACTGTAGTTGAGAAAGATATTATATATTATGTATGTCATATAAGGACTGTATGTATATGTATGTGTGTGTGTGTGTGTATATATATGTCATAATGTGACACCGAGTAAGAACTCAGCCTTGTTTGTTATTTACGTTACCAGTATATTGGATAAAGCCCACCCCAATAAAGAGAGCCATCTGCTTTACTCAATCCACAGATATCTTTGCAGATTTACTCAGAGTAATGCTTAAATACAGAATCTGCAAAAAAACCAACCAACCAACCAAACAAACAAAAAAAAACCCTTATATACACTGCAGCAGTTTGCTATACTAGTAAATATTGGGAAGCTAATGGTCACCTCTTTGAATACCTCATGTAATTGTAGAGACCAAAGGTAACCTGTATTAAGCTCATGTCTCAATAAGTTTAATGTTAGAATCTTTTCCTGATATGTACTCTTTTTTTTTTTTGTGACTCTGTATATGAGGAGCCAGTGAATTAGACATGTAAAATTAACAATCTCAGAGCCAAAATATACCTTACATCCCACCCATTTGCACTTTGACATATTTTTAATAGTTCTCTGAAAAAGCCACTGATCCATGTGAATATTAGAATCAGAACCTCGTTGGTTTACTTAAAATTGTCAATGCACTGTTAAATTGGATTGAATTGAATGACAGTTTGTCCATATTTGTGGAGTATAACTTGTAATATTTTCTTCTGGCTTAATTAATCAGATTAATTGCTGTTTGTAGATATTAACTATCAATGAATGCGTCTTTTTGCTTCATTTTCTGACATTTTTCTCTTGACGTGTAAAGATTCTAACACATAAGCTTAGTCATTTTGACAAACTTTCGCATCTCTGAAATGACTGATTTGCAGCAGATAACAGCAATTTCCAGAATAATTTGCAAAAGCCTAATTGACTGGCATGACATTTGTTAACAGGTCTCTCACATTAGAGTTTGTCAGTGAGCAGCTGGGGTGAGAAAGAAGTGGATTTGTTTTTGGGCTTCTGTACCCTCCATAGGACCTTAGATATCCCTTGACCTCATCTCTAATGCCTCATAATAGCCACTAGAGCCAGAGGATCACAAGAAATAAGAATGTGTGATTTGCACTATTATATATATGCTTTATTTCGTAGACTGTATTAACTGCTTCTACCTGGCAATGATTTTCATGGCTTATTTTGTAGATATAAAATGGTGTTCTTGTAATTCACCTGATTTAGAATCCACTTCTCAGTGTTAAGTATCACTTGTGCTTTTTGCTGCTGTTCATGAAGTTAATGAATTCTAAGACATTATCTCCTTGTTCATGTGGTAGCCTAATTTTTTTTATTTTTTTACTTGAGTAACAACACTCAGTGGGACCAAACTCTAGTACTGGGACTAAAAAAATTAAAAAAAAAATCTTTAAATAATAAAATATTTAAAGAAATACAACGTGTCACAATGAGATCCTACTTTGGGCCTCCCTCCTTAGACTAGGTCACACACTTAAGTGTTCATCTAGCACAGTGTTTCATTGCACAGGGACATCACGATGCCCTTCTTGGTGTTCACTTTGAGAGCATTAGGCATCTTACATTGAACAACCTACTTTATTTATCTGAACCACTGAAACTTTACTTTTTGTTTGGGCCAATATTTCTACTTTGGAGCATCTATATTTCATAAATGTACTGTTTGAGGGTTTTCCCCCCAAATTTATTTTTAATCTGCCCTATCTTCTAGCCACTAATATTCTGGATTTGCTAATTAGCTATAATATCTATAGCTCTGCTTTTAAATGAATAAGAAGTTTTAAATTCTTCAATTGTTTACTCTTGATTAGAGTTCTAAATTTCTAATTAGGACCTTTCCATCCTTTACGGTTGTGTTCATTTTCTCTGGGCCTATTCTATTCTCATTTCATTGTTGGCAGTTTGATCTGAGATTTTCATCATGTGTTTACTTTCTCTTCACTAGGGTTATCATATATAAACATTGCCTTTGTTTCTAAATGCCTTCCTAGGAACACACATCAGGAATGACTTGGAATTGCTATATTGTAAACATGCTGTGTGATTTGCTCTCCAGTATATACCCACTCTGCCCCACACACATGCTCAAACCACTTCAGTGCCAGCAGCTTACAGACACATAGGTCAGCCAGTGATGTGGGCTAGAATTTGCTCTGGCAGGGGACACCGATTCATGCTTTTCTTTGACTGATTTACACCTTTGGGTCATTAATTAAAGATGCAGGAACATTAAGCCAGTAAATTGAAGATGTGTTATGGGTGAAACTTAATTTAATGAATTTTAATTTAGAGATCTTACTAAATGTTAATTTACTAAGAAATTTTAGTGGAAACAATTATATTCAGTTGTTCTGCTGTGTACATTGCGATCTCAGCATGAGTGAGATCTGGTGAGTTCAGAAGCAGGTTTGTTGGAGGTAAAAGCAGACAGCAAGTATCTGAGGCAGTGCCAGTAGCTGTGAAGGTGCTGTAAGCCCCAGCGGGTGATGAAGCTGAAACAGAACAGCATGTGTCTGGTGCCCAGCAGCTTATCGAATTTTTAAGACATTTTCCTAGGCTGCACTCAGATAAGAGTAAAATTATTTTGGAATATTTATGACAAGATATGTGAGTTGTGAAGGCAAAGTTCAATTTCACTGGAAGCCAAAGAGGATTTACAGTCTGTTGGAATTTTCATTTGAAAAGCCAGGGGCTTTTTTCTGTTTTTGTGTGATGGTTGATGAATACTTCAGTATCTCTTGTAATCCTTTAGTATTTTCCTAGTCTTTAGCTAAGTTGTTTGAAAAGATATATAACATTGACTTTTCCTATCATATGGAAGGTATTTAGGTAACTAACAGAGGAAGGAAATCAATAATGAACAATTCATTTAAGTGTTGATCTTTTTCCCTGCTTTGGAGTAGCTTATGAGGAGGAAAGGAGCCAGCACAAAAAGCATTGATTAGAACACTGTATGTCTTACTTTTCAGTGTCCTGGGTGGAAGAATTGCATTATTTTTTTTTAATAGCTTTCTGTGATTTAGTAGACATCAGCATTGAAATACAAGTATCAAAATGTCTGAACATTGATTCTCATTAATATTCATCAGTCAAATCCTCATCGTGAACTTAATCTTTACAGGAGGTTGATTTGACTACAGAAACTGTCCATTTAAACTTGGATGTGGCTTTATTATGAGATTTTTCCTTTTTTAAAAAAAATTTCACTAGTGTTATCATAGAAGAGAAATGTGCATAGACTTGTAGGGTTTTTTTCATAGCATTTGTTTCTTACGTGGTGAATAATATCTTTATTTGACATGTGATGTTCGGTCAGTAATTGCTGAAACATTTGAAATTGTAATTTTGTGTTTCTATATGTGTTATTTTACAAATATAAACTGAAAAAAAGCCCACTGCTATGCATGCTTATTGCAGTGATACCAATTGTGGTATTGTATCAGAAATGAAATAGCATCACGTACTGATGTAGGCTGACTATCCTAAACTCTTGCCCCATTTCTATAAGTTTTGGGTTTTTTTTTTTTTTTTTTTTTTTTTTTTTTGGTACTGGGGATCGAACTCATACTTTGGACTTGCCAGGCAGGTGCTTTGCCGGGTGAGCTATCTCCCCAGCCCCTTCTAATTTTTTCCCTGACTCCATGATCAGCTTATCCTCCTTGAAACTTACCTGCAAATTGGAAGTTTGGAGCTGGTCAGAATTTCCTTGAAGATGCATTATCACCAAGACTAATAAGATACTGTCTTCCATTCACTTGCTCAATGGCAACTTTTCTCATTAGCTCATTCTGTGAGAGAGCTGAGGAAGCAGTAGTGTAAGGTACAGACTCTCAGAGATGCTATGACATTTGCTTAATTACTACTTCAGTTATACATTCCAAATCAGACTCAATTGAAAGGAGAATATTCAATCTAGAATTAATGGTGTTTGCTTTTTCTTTTGATTTTAGGAGCTTATTTAATGACAAGTGCCATAGACTGAAAAATCGAACATGAGGGTAGCAGGTAAGCTGTTTAATCCAGTGGAAAGAAGTTTGACTTTTGGGGAAACTGTTTGTTTATAATGTCCAAAGTAGAGAGTAAATGGTGTTTGTTTATATTGAATACTGAGCTAAAATAAATTAAGTGAAATAAATCAGATGCACCAGCTTACATATCACATGAGAAACCTAAGTTGTAAATAAAGAGCAAAATAAGAGGTAATAGGAAGTAGGGAAATAGATCTCTCTCAGTTGAGAAGGAGATAAATAAATGGAGGAGGAAAGGACAGGGGATGAAAAAGAAATTAAGATTTGTTGTGTACATGTAGCAGTCATACCCAAGAAATGTAATCATGTACTGCAAACATGTAACAAGTAAAATGGCACTCTTTAGTCTTAATTTTTTTAGGTAGTCAGCCAATCACAAATTCTTTGTTAAGTTTTGGTGATAGACCTTTGAAATTGTGAATATTTTAAGTTCTGGTTTTAATGTTTATTTCTTATGTATTAAGCTTGTTTGCCTAATATTGCATATAAAATGCCCATATGGAGAGTGGTTTCAGTAGCACAGGGAAGCTGATTTTTGTTTTTTCAAAGATATAGCCTCTTGAGGCTATATCTAAAGTTTAAAAGTTTAAATCTCTCCCATGTATTAAATTAAAACTAATGCATATATTCAATAAAATGTATTTTTGCTCAGTGTTTGCTCAAATTCAGTGTGTGACGATGTGTTAAAGACATTGATCTGTTCCTGCAGCAGTATATTTTAAAAAAATTACTAGATGTTCATAGTTTTAAGCAGCTATCTTTGAGATATAAAAAGACTGGCCTGTGAATACCTGGCTGATCTCTTCTTATGTATAGAAATTAACTGCCCCCCCCACTTCTCCAGTGAAGACCTAAACAAATGCATGTTTTATAAAGAAATATCTACTGAATATGTGCCCAACATGGAAGGCAGTGTACAATTTCTCAAAATCTAGATAATTGATCTTAATTATTGTCTCACCAGAAAGCTAAGTATTTTCCTGAAAAAAAATGTCAAAAATGCCTAATGTCGCAGGAGGTGAACAAACACATCTTCATACTTTGGTCATAATTGTATAGAATCAGGCACAGTTGATCAGGCATCATGATTATTAAACAGATGTAATTGAAGGTTATTAAACAAATGTAATTAAAGGTTGTTACTAAGCCTTTTGTGAAAATTTTGAAAACCGGATCTCTTTGCCATGAAGTTACAAAACATCTTTTTAAAAGTAATTGTATAGTTGTTGAAGAAAAGTCTCCTCAGAAACCACAAGCTTGTTTGTAGTTTAAAAATGCATGCAATATCTTTTTTTGAGTAATCTTTGCATATAGCAGGATTATTTAATATTATATCTCTCTAGATGATTTTAAAGTACATTGTTTAAGCATGGTGACTTAAAAAGCAGGTTTCTATTTGACCCTAATCTACTTCATTTTAGTTTAAATTGATTTTGTCTTCTAGTCCATTTCTCTGATTCTGACAACTAATGACCAGGTTAATTGAAGAATTATTATTCACTAAGTGCTTATATTCCTCATACAGATCTTGAGGGAACTGCCTTAGTGAACAAACAGTAAAGATTAGCTGTTAGTTTATTGATTTTAACCAATTAATCTCTTCTGTTTAAAATATCTTGTTGCTTTGAAGTATCCACATAGCCATTAGTCTTCAGCTGAAGTTTATGCTTTTTGGTTTGTGAAAAACAGGAGCACCTACCTGCCTTTCATGGCTAGAAGGAAAAGGGAATTTCACGAAAGGTTCTGAATGAGAGTGCTGTGGTGTGGCGACAGTGCCTTCTAAATCCTTCTAAATCCGATTGAGTGATGGTTCTGAATTAGGCCAGCTCTGCAGATGTTCTACCAGAACTAATTTCAAAGACATTGCTAGTTTTTCCTCTACCTGTAGCTTTTCTTTTCCTTAGATCTTTTGTTTCTTCCTGATTCCTCTGATGGTCCAGTATAAGTGAATAGGTCTTGATGTAAGTGCTGCATCTTACTAGCTCTAGGAAAATGATGTAAAATTTTAGTCTCATTTTCTGTATTTGTAAGAGAAAGTAATATTTGAAAAGCTGTGTAAAATGACCTTATGCCACTAGAAAGCATTTAGTTGTATAGTAGGCACTCCATAAATGGTATCTATACTACTTTGATCATTTTCTCATTGCTAGGACACAAGCACCTCTACACCTTAAAGGAGGAGAGGTTTGTTTAGGTTCATGTTTTCAGTCCATGGTCATCTGACTCCAAAGTAGAAATGGTAAAAGGCTTAGAAATGGAGGATCCCACAGAAGAAAGGTGCTGCTGTCCTATTGGCTGGAAAGCAGAGGTAGAAGAGAGGAGCCAGTAGGAGAAACGCACCCTTCCAGGTCCTCCCCTGAGTGATCCGCCTCTAACCAGGCTCCACCTCTACCTGCATTTTCAGCGGCTGAACTCATTTGTTAGTGAGTAAATCCAATCACCATTCAAAAGCCCCAGCCCTGAGCACAGGAGAATTTGGGGGACATTGTGGATCTAAACCATAACATGTATTATATATAAAATATAGTTATATATTTTTGTAACTTTTTAATTTATGTCAGGCTTAGTTTGTATAAAATTTAGAACTTTCTTTTATAAAACTGATTTTTTTAAAAGTCATTTTAATATCAGTGTTCATCAATAAAAGTTTCACATTTCTGATTTATGGACAGACGGAAAAGTTAACTGTGGTTACATACATAATTGTAGAAAATAAGATGGTCGTACTAGCATGCAAATATAAAGACTAAGGTAGAACTGGGATGAATTGTGCTTAAACTTCCTTGTTGCGAAATTGCTATATTGTTAGAATATATATATATATATATTTTTTTGTCTTTTTTCTTTTTATCGGTACTGGGTAGAATATTTTTTTAAGGCTGATATTATCTTTTAGAGCAGTTCTGGGTTCACAGCAAAACTGAAAGCAGAGAAATTTCACTTTTTTACCATTTATTTCCTGCTTGCTGCCTGCATAGCCATTAATAGAGCGTTTCTAAATAGCAATGAGTAGGTTTTGAGGCGCTGCTGCTTCTCCGCGTCCTTGCCTCACTGAGAGAGCATCAGCAGTTCATTCCCATCCCTCTTGAAGGATGCAGTCAGTTCTTTTTGGGTTTATGAAATCAGAGTGAGATCATTTGGCTTTAGAATGGACTGTTATTCAAACCACTTGGTTTTGTTAGGATTCCTAGATTTTGGTCTTTGTGCTGCCACTAATTTATCTGTAACCCTGGGCTATTATCGCACTTGCTAGGCTTTCTCCCCTCCCCCCCTTTAAGAAATGAGATGACTTGGTCTTTTCCACCTCTTTTACTTCTTTTTTCTTTTTACAGTACCACTGAACTACATCCCCAGCCCTGTACCTCCTACATCAATATAAATTGAGAAGGGAAGGAAAATTTTATAAACATACGTTGATGTTGTTCTTGAATAAACTAATGACAGCTCTGAGATCATAAGTTTAAGAAGATTTTTTTTTTTTTTTGGCTAATATTTTTCTATTTCTTTTCTTGTCTTGTACTTTGACCTTTGTTTTACTAGATCTGGTAAACCTTGGAGAAAAAGCAAAAGAGATAATTCATGTTAAGCAGTAATGTCAGGGATGACTATTTGTAAGGCATAAGCAAACATAAAACGTTATGAAAGATGAGTCATCTGCTTCATGTAACCTTGTTATAAAATACAAGATAGATGCCAAATTATGTCCTCCAGGAGTAGAAAGCCTGTCTTAACCTAAGTATTAAGTGTAACTTGGTTGTCATGCCATGAGTAATGTTAGCTGTGATGCAGCTAGAGGAGACACATTGCTAACCCTGTTACATTTCCCTGGAGAACTTTTTGCTTAGTGGATACTTTGGCCTTGCCAGGTCCAGAAAGTCCAATGTTCTTGTAGCATTTCCGTGTAGCATTGCTCCTTATATTTGGAAAAGACTAGGAGTTGCATAATCTAACAAAATCAGTCATGACATGTTTATGTAGTGAGCTAGCAACTGATGACAGGTAAGGTTTTTTGTTTTGTTTTGTTTTTGCATTTAAAAATAGAAAATGTTTAAATAGTCTTAAAGAAATTTAAAATACATAACAAAGGTTCTGTGGGCTCGTGGACTCATCCTGAATTATTGTCTTTTTTCTAGGAGCTGCAAAATTGGTGGTAGCTGTGGCAGTATTTTTACTGACATTTTATGTTATTTCTCAAGTATTTGAAATAAAAATGGATGCAAGTTTAGGGAATCTGTTTGGTGAGTTTCACTTTTTTACCTTTTAAACATTATTTTTAATGTGTTGTCTAAATTTTTATCAGCTCTACACATAGAGTCACTGCTATTTACTCTGTTTAGAAAAATGTGATTTGTTAGAATATTCTAAACTACGTAAAAGTCAGAATATGGTATTAAAGTAACAAATCTTCTATTCAACACTTTGAACACTTTCAAAAAGATTTATACCTATTGAGAGGCATTGATCATGGCTTTTAAAAGCACATTCTAGGAAATATAACACCTTTAAATTTAAATTGTTGACTACTGGAAAACTTGGACCTAAATCTAGCCCTCAATTACCAAGTGATTAGGAATCACAATAGTGTATTTTAAATATTGTTCATTGAAATTTATCTTGCTTTTGGCCCTTATTTTTTGTGATTTTTTTTTTTTTTTTGGTATCCATGTATTATTTCTATATTGTGAATGTACCGTTACTAGGCAGTTTAACTCAGTTTTTAACAAAATCTTTAAGTTAATGAAATAGAACCAATTTAATGCTACTTTAGAGAATTGTATATTTAAGTACTTAATGTGTATTTCTAATCTATAAATAATACCATTATGAGAATAAAGAATAGAATTTAATGTTTATGTATTAAAGTGGCAAGTACTTAATATTTAACTAAACTTCTCTGTAAAATTAAGTCTCTCTTTTGGAGAGACTGTAGGCCTTCATTATTTGAATTTAGGGACATTACTGATACTTTTCAGAGATCCTCGTATTTAGTCAATTTTGGCTACAGTGTTAAGACATTAAAAAATAAGCATGGAAAATGAGATTGTAAAACCTACAGTATGTTGGCCTAGGAGGCGGAATTGAATGAAAGGCTTTGAGATCTCCAGATTAGTGAATTTTGCTTTGTGTGAATTAATGCTTGGAAGGGATCTGTGAGATTTACTTTACCTTCTGTCATCCAAACTCACAACTTTATACCAGTGCTTCTCAAAAAAGTCTCTAGAATATCTTGGCTAATGCAGATTCTGATTTACTGGTTGGGATGTGGCCTGTGTGTCTGCATTTTGATCATGCTTCCTGGTGGTGCTGAGGTTCCTATGCATGGAACACGTTCTGAGTAGCAGGGCTAAAAATGATTTTGATGAGTAACATTTCAGGTGGATTTCTTACCAATACTGCTTAGAGTACATCTTTCTGTAATATATTCTGCCTCTTGTACTGTTAAGTAACTTCTGTCCCTGATCTTGCTTCTGCCTGCTAGAACTCTCTTCTCCATCATGATCTCTCAGATAGTTAAACTGTTCATGGTTTTTCAGACCCCCTTACACATTTCCTTCCTTTCAAGTAATGGAATCCTCCACCTTTGCTCGTCTTGATATATTGATCATTTTCTTCCTGAACTTGGCTGTTTTTAAGCACTCATTTTAAAATAAGATATCTCATTGTTCACCCTGATTGATGTGTTTTGAAATTTTTTTTTCCTCTACCTCCTTTTTTTTTTTTTTTTTTTTTTCTTTTTATCCTTGAAATGAAATGGATTTGGGGGGAAAAAATAAAATGAGATATACAAGATCCAGCTTACAGTCATTAGTGCAAAGAATAGTACAACTTCTCTTTACTTGTTCTGGGCTGTGGGATGTTTATTACTATCAGATAGCCAGCTTGGTAGCCTTTGAGAGTACAGCTGGTTGCAGTGTAGAAATAGCTTTTTCCTTTTTAAAGTAACAGACTTTCACTTACCTATTCAGCATGAGTGAAAATTGTGTGTGACAAATCAATGAAAAGAGATTGAACAGATAAGAAAAGGAGGATCCTTGGGAGAAGGGAGCCAACAGAATCTTCGGGACAAATAGAAAAATTATTTGGAGAAGGGCCCACTGTTTTTAGAGAAGAGCAAAGAGGTTGGGTGAAGCCATGGTGTGGCACAGTGATTGTACACTGCTGGTTCCCCCCAGTAATCTGCGTCTGTTTCTAGCTGTAGGCCCTGTCTCCTCCCCCGTCCAGATCTTCATCTGTAGTCCATGTTGTTCTTTTAAACACTGTGGTAACATCCCTGTGTCTTCTCCTTGTCTTTGCTGAATGCACATCTCACCACTCCCAGGTCATTCTTGAAAACTCATGAATCTTAATACTTCCAGGTCCTGGAGAATAAAATACAAAGTCCGTGGTCAATATGACACTCAAACTAGGTGTCACATTTGCTGTGCCACAGAGCTTGACCTGTCCTTTGGTACATGGGCCTTTGCTCATGCTGACTCCATACCTTGCACACCTTTCTCATCTCCGTGTCACTTCTTAATCCATTTCATTTTTCAAAAACACTGTATCAGTGCTCCCTCTTTGTACATTTGTTTGTGCCTCCTCCTTTTCCTCAATTTATTGCTCCTTTTTCTGAACTGTTGTTTCTAATTGCATTGTACAACCTATATCATTTTAGCATTCCTTTTATTCCGCTTTACCTCATAGAACCTTCCTTTTTCTGTCTTGTGTGTTTGTATCTTCCCACCTGAGGGAGGGCAGTAACATCTTGGTGCTTTACCCTGCATTAGCACTGGGCTCTGTAGGCAGAAATACTGATTGAATTTAACTGAATGGAAGTAATTGGGGATTCAGATTTTTATGTGGGAATGAAGAAAAATGAGAGTCAGATCAGAACAAATGCTCAATACTTTAACTATGATAGTTGTTTCTCTTGATTTTCATTTAAATTTTTCCTAATGTTAAGTACCAGCAAAGTTTTATAGTATGCATCTTAGCTATTTAATTTAGGCATCCTTAGAGCAAATATATGTTTTGATGTTAGAAGTGAAGTAGTACATTACATCTACAAAACCTTGTTAGATTCCAGACTAATTTGTAGGATTTATTCTCGTTTCAGACTATTATTAAAATGAATTATGTGTTATCTTCTGCAATTTATTTAGCACCTCACTTGATTTGTCAAAGGGCAAAAAGTTTAACCCAGTGTTGAGCTGGTTCATGTGATCAGTATTTCAGGTGCCCACTAGTTCTCTGATGAGTTTTCTGTTTCTTTCCACTTGTTATTAGAGCTTACGTAGTACTCAATAGTTTCTATACATCATTGTAGTACGTACTATTTTAGAAAATTAAAACAATTTTTATTGAAGTTAGTTGAAATTACAAGGTAGATGATGTTTTGTTTTTTGGTATTTTTAAACAATATTTTGGTCTGAGGATGGAGTTCAGTGCTACAGCATCTGCCTAGAGAGTATGGGGCCCTGACTTTGAGCTCCTGAACCAAAAAACAAACAAAATACAGACCTATCAAGAAGTAATGCAGAAGTAATTAAAACTCAAGGTTTTAATAAAAATGTTTTGAGAATTATAAAATTTTATACATTTGTAAGAAATACTGAGACCCAGGCATGATACATGCATGCATGTAGGCCCACCACTCAGGAGGCTGCAGCAGCTGGAGAATTGTGAGTTTGTGGCCATTCTGGGCCATGTAACAAGTTCAAGGCTAGCCTGGACCACATAGCAATCCTGTCTCCAGAACAGAAGAAAACGAAAGAAAACATAGTCAGAGATCCTGTGTAACTTTTACTCAGTTTCTCCTATTAGTAAAATCCTGAAAACTATAAGCTACTGTCCCAACCAGGATATGGGTATGGATACTATTCCCCAGACTTGTTTATGATTGTGATTTAATGTAGTGTTAGTTTTCAACTTGTAAACTTAGCTAGTAAATGTATGAAACACAGTCCAAATTAGTTTTGCATACCTTGTTGCAGTAAATACTTAATGTTCTATGGAGTTATTTTATCCTGTGAAATTTAAATTCTTGGTAAGTAGTATGCACATAAATAATATCCTCTTGAGACATTATTAAAAACAAAAGTAAAGAGTAGTTCTGACTCATTAGTCTTACTGACAAATAAGTCATTGATATAGCTAAGTCAGAAAGATTTATTATTATTCCTTAAGGAGAAAAGTTGTATATCGCAAAAGAAACTGAGGACTAAAGCTACCAGAGTTTGAACAATAACTATTGCATAAGAGGAGGGAATGGTGCATGTGTTATACATGTATTCCACTCTTGGATTACATCTTTTTATGGTGGAAAGTCATTCACTTGTTTGGTTCTAGCTGCTGAAATTCTCAGAATGATAGGTGTAGTTGAAGAAGACTTTTGTTTTTGATGAGTACAGGGTAATAGTGAACTTTGATCTGTAAAGAAGTCCTTTCATGGGAGTTTCTTTCCCATCAACCGTCCTGGCCCCCTCCCCACTGTTCTTCCACAAAATAAATGGAAGTGATGTTGTTTACTTAAAAGTCTTGTGATTAATAAACTGATTTCCCAAAATTATATCTCAGTAAAGTTATGTTTCTTTTTTTTTCCTTCAAATTGGATGGCATACCTTCTTTGCATACCTTGCATTTTATAAGCAAGCTAGTGTGACCATTTTAGAAATTCCTCTCTGATTTTTTTCTGTCTCCTTTTCTTTAGCCTCTCCAGGTTGCTAAGCCTCCTTGGCCTCTGGCCATTATTTGGTAATTGATGGTGTCATCTGTTTCTTAATTTCAGGTTATATTTCAATCCCAGTTACTCTTTACAGCAGACCTCTATGTTATTTCACTTGTATCTTCTTCAGAAGTGTCTAAAATTAGCAAGTCCAACAGAATTTATCATCTATCCCACTCGCGTATCCTTACTCTAACAAACATCTTCAGCGCCAAGAAGATATGAATGCTTTTGTTCAGTGGTTCATATGAATGAAAACCAAGATGCTTTTAAGCCAGATGCCTTTCTGGTATCCAGATTCCTTCCTTCCAGTACCCCTACATCTATCTGGTCCATTCTAAAGTCCTATCAATATTGTTTCCTTGGTTTCTCTGAGTCTACTTTTTCAAACCCATAATCACTACCTTTCGTACTTTCTTTCCCCCAAAGTATCCCTTTTTACCTGGTTTACTTCGGCATCTTTGACAGTTCACTTTCTCTACTCTTGAACACTTTGCAGTCAAAAGTGTTTGTTCGAAATACTTTTTGTCTTGCTTCCTACTCTGGCAGGACTAGCAGTATTTCATGTGTGTGATCAGAAGACCTCAGACATTTCCATTTTCAGAGTTGGTCCAAGTGGTGCATGAGAGATGATTTTAGAATCTAGCTCTGCAGCCTGGAACAGATCAAGTCATTAAATTATTTTGGCCTCAGTTTTCTTTACCAAGAAAAAAATTTGGTCCAAGTCTGTAGCACATACAAAAGTGCTTGACAGGAGACTACTACCATATGTGAATGAGCTGTATAACTGAACCAAGTTCTGATCCCATTATCTTCCCAGTACCTCAGCTACCATAGGTGAGGTAGACCAGAGTTCCTGATCCTAACACTGCTGCTTTCTAGAAATTGTAACGCCTAAGCCAGGTAATACTTGTGTTCAGGACATGATGAGGTTGAGAATTCCTAGTCCTTATGCTTCCTAGGCTTTAGTTTTCTAATTTACAAAAGTAAGATCATTGGATTAGATCTCTATAATTGTTTCCTCTTTTATAATGCAATCACAGAAAATAACATAATAGAGAAAATTGATAGAATGGACCCAAGTAATATAATCTCAACAATTAACTTTACAAACTTCCTTTTTTTTTTACTCAAGTCTCTGTCTTTATGCATACATATGCTTAACATTATGGTATGGATAAAGTTTGTTTTCTACTTTATTCCATATATTAAACTTTTTCTGCAGCATTTATTATACTACCCTTATGGTTTATTAAAGTCCTAAAGTTGCATAATATTCTAGTGAGTGCTCTATTGAGTGAATAAAGTTTCACTTGATCATTTTCCTCTTTTTAACATTTAGATGCTGTCTTTCAGATTTTTTGTTTTTTTAAAAAATCAGTCAAATTTAGCCGTGGGGGGGTGGTATACCAACTTTAGTGACACTAATGTTAATAAGTTCTGATAACCCACTGCCATCGGACCAGCCTGTCTTTCAGTTTTAACTTTTGTTTTGCAGTTTGAATGTTGGACTAACAGGAAATTCACACTTAACAAAAATAGTACAGAAGTAAAAAGAAGTGACTACTTATAGTCAGACAGCTGGCTAACATTTATCACACTGCATACTTATTAGTCAAATCAGGAAATGAGTGTCGACAATACTTTAATGTTCTGAGTTATAACTTTCCTGGCTGGGATCAGGTTGGTGCTTAGAGAGACACTAAGTATAATCATGATAGATGGCCTGGTTGAGCTCTGTTACATTCATGTTAAGGTTCAACCTTGTGACTTCCTTGAACCTTATATAAAAGTAATGACTTTTTAAAAAATTATTATATATAATACATTTCTATTTTGGAGAAACTAAAGCTACCCACTCCTTGCCATCTCTTTCTTTCTGTCCCTTGGTTTTCATTTTTTAAAATAATTTTTCTTTTTTAGTTTTTAAATTTTTATTAGTACGTGTTTGCACTACACAGTGTTTACTTTCCTGGTGTAAAGTTGTTTGTGCATAGTAAGTCCTAATTCTTTTTTTCCCATATCAACAAGAATTTATGTTGAAGCTCCTCTAAAATGCCATCAGAACTGTGCTGAACATCTATTAACTTTTTTATGATTCTTTTGTTCTGGTATGAGTGTTTCTCAACATTGAGGTTAGATCTTTATTTTTGTTTTTATGTTGAAGTAATTACATTAGCATGCAAAAAAACCACCAGTCAAAAACTGGCACAGAAAATACAAAAAACAGAGGTTAAGACAGTGGAACTGGAAAGACCAGAGAGTTTTCTTTTCACAAAATACGAATTTTTAAAAATGTGTTGTGCTTCTACTTAACGTTGAAATAGCAAGCAGTCTTGTGACAGCACGGTTGAGCCTAGAGTTGTTTCTTAATTTTATTTCATTGATCCACCAGTATGATTTTTTTCTACCAATACCATGCTTTTTTCTTAATCATTGTAGCTTTATGGTATAACTTGAAATGCAGCATTGTGATGTCCCCTTTCTTGTCCTTGTTGTCAAGAATTATCTTTGCTCATCTCCTGATTTTCTAATCTAGCCGACAAGATAGACTTACATATATTCTCTAGAAGTTTATATGCATGTGTGTCCTATACCATATAGCAGCTATAACTTTAATACCATAATTATTTAGCAGGTGTATATGTATAGTCCTTTAAAGTAAGTTTGTACAGTAACTTTCTGATTGAGATTTAAATGTATAATGATTAAAACAACAAAATGTAAGGTAAAAATAAAATTTTCTACCTTATTACTACTACTCAACATAATAGTTATAATGAATTGGATGGAATTATTTTCTCCAAAGTGATACTCATATTGTACTTATTCTGAGTATTCAGACATATTTTTGTAAGTTTGTTAGAAACTCTAAACATGTTTAAAAAATGGCCACTTGCCAATAGGCTTATTCTTAACAAAGGTAACTTTTTTTTTTTCCTTAGCAAGATCAGCATTGGACACAGCTACACGTTGTAAGTAATTCATGTTAATAGTTTACAAATATATGTTCTTCCATAATTTAAGCACATGAGAGTTTATACTTAAGCAATGCTGATAGTTCAGTGGTAGTAGAAACTTATCTTGGAAATTATGCCTTAAACTTATATGCATGGGGATGTAGCTCAGTGGTAGAGCATTTGTGTAGTTTGCTTGATGCCCTGGGTTGAACCTACAGAACCACCAAATTTTACAAAAACAAGTGCTGGTGCAGTTATATGGGTACTATGTGAACAGCCCAGTACCATTGGTATTTATTTATTATGAATATTTACTTCCGTTAGTGGTTTTTTAGGTCCAGTATCAGAAGTCCTGAAAGCGATAGAAGAGTAAAAGGAGAATTTCTAGTTAAAGGTGGCTAGTGGGACATTAGATATTCTAGTTATCCTTGAAGTAATTGGTTTTTATGGATCTGTAAATTGAAAATACAAAATAACAATTTTAAACTTCCTGTATTCTGAAATTTAAAGATAAATTCAAGTGTTCATTAAGAATGTACTGTATTTTTGTGGTTCATTTATACCAGTTACTAACTTTTGACCTAGTAGGATCTAGTTTTGTTACTATGTTCTTTTGTTGTGTTTTGAATTTCTTTGAAACCCTTATGGGGGAAAAGTTCTAGTTTATGTTTTAAAATATGTATATCTTGATGTTTTACATAATGTCTTAGGGTTTGAGACAGAGAACAGATGGTGGAGTCTATTAACATTCTTCAACAATAACAACAAAATTCTATTTGTCTTCCAAAGCTACAAAACCTCCCAGATATAAATGTGGAATCTCAAAAGCTTGTCCTGAGAAGCATTTTGCTTTTAAAATGGCAAGTGGAGCAGCCAATGTGGTGGGACCCAAAATCTGTCTGGAAGACAATGTGTGAGTATGTGTTGATTTTATACTGTAAGGTGCGCTGTTCATTAAATTACAGCCAGCAAAACCTGATAGGCTCAGGGAAACTTCTGAAAATGGACTGGACATGCTTTTACTAAAGGAAAGTGATGTTAATTATCATTATATAGTTTTTCCCCATGAATTTAAAGCTTGTTAAAATTATTTTTTTATTGGTAAGTGACTAAGAATGCACAGTAATTTATCTAGCTTTGTATAGAGTGAGGGATTTCCTCAGAGAATTCTCTAGATTTGCACTGTTCCATTTGGTAGGTATCAGACACATGTGGCTGTTTTGTTTTATTTTGCATACCAGGGAGGAAGTTAGTTCATTTAAATTAATTAAATTAAATGTGAGGTACCCAGCCACCTCACATTTCACATGTTCAGTAGCCACTTGTGGCTCATGGCCACCTGTTTGAACAACCAGGTTAGAATTCTATGATGGCTTAGTCTTGTTGACAGCATGGGTAAGAGTGATATGTACTGTTCCCTGACAAACCAGCATCTCTCATTTATAATACTTGACTGCTGTTTTGAAATGTGAAATAATCCAGTGATAACCACAGGTCTGTTGCTACACAAACTCCTTGCTCCTAAGCTGGTTTCCCATGTTGAGATGCTACACAAAATATGATTTGTGGGCTTTTCAGAATCTTATCTCAGTGTCAACTGCCACCTATGATTTGAATTACTGCTGCTGAGATTACAAACCCCACTTTCAGTGGTTACTTTTAATCAGATTGTCTCAAAAGTTAGATACATGAGCACATTTAAACTTTCTGTGGAATAATAAATTTGACATTTCATTTTGTAAAGACTAAGGTAATGTTAAAGATGTTATAGGAAACTGACCTATACTAGGCAATTTCTCCCAAATCTTTTTGTATTTCTCCTTTTTACTATAGAAGCTCCTACATTTTTTATCCTTGCTTCTTTTGCAGTGAGTTAGCTATGAGAAGGTTGTTCTTTCTCAGGGGATAAATTTTTCTTGAAAAATTAAGGACTTGAGCTAGATGATTATCAAGACCTCTGCTTGCTTCCATTTTATTTTTGTTTGATGCTACTGGTGATCCATTATTAACAAACTGTCTTTGGTATCTCATTATACCAGTCTTGTTTTATCAATATGTAATAAGGCACTTAGGTGTTACAAGTTTTGTTTTTTTTTTTTTTTTTTTTTAAATATTCCTATTCTCTTTGCTTTAGTTGACTAAAGAGACTCTAAGTACTATTCTAAATACAGTAATAGGTAAAGGGTTCTTACCCTGCAGATTTCCTTAGATGTCTACTCTCCCACTTGACATGTAAAAGCTTAATGAAAAGAATGTTTAGTTTTTGTTTTTAACTAGCACATTTCTCTTCAGTGATTATGTAGGTCAAAAAGAAAAGTGTGTAGGTAATAAGCCAGAGAATTTGGTTCTGGTGTGAAGGGCAAGTCGTGCAGAATTTGTACCATATTTCAGTTTAACTGTAAAATTGAGTCTGGCCACTATTCCATCTACATGTTAAGAAACATTGTGCCATTCCCATGAGAAATTAAATAATTGGTGGGATCGTGTCGCTAGGCTTCAGGTCATGAAGCTAGTCTTGATAGCAAGGCTGAATAATTGGCCCAGTGGAGATTCCAAAGGGACCCAGTCATAGTCCAGTGCTTTTTGCAGTATATTCTAATCTTTAAAATATATTTTTAAAGTTGAAAGATTCTGAATTCTGTGAACCTTACTCACTTGTTTACTTATCAAACATATTCCCTCATATAACACAATCTAGTAACAAAGAGAATCGCTTAAAAAGTAAATGCAGATACCTGATTGTAAATTGTGGTCCCAGCTGTACAAGCACCTGGCTGTGATATGTATGGGTGGCAGTCAGAAAGGGGCATCTTGATTTAGAGTGAGGGTCAAAGAATAGATTCTGAGACAGAGATGTGTAGTCAGAGATCAGGGAGAAGGAAGACAGCCAGGTGAAGAATGGACAGAACAGGTATGCCAGAGCACTGTAAGACGGGGAAGCTCTGGAGAGAAGTGAATAGGGCCAGGCCGGTAGGGAGTTGTAGGTGATGCAGGTGAAGGGTTGAAATTGTTTTCATATTCTGGCATGTTATGATTTCATTTATGTTGAAAAAAAATGATCTGTCTGCAGTGTAAAATGATTAATGGAATAGAGAAAACTTTGGGAAGACTGTTCCCAGTTACTCCCAGCTCACATGTGATACTGCCTCCTGATTGGGAACAGAGTAGTACGTTCTCTAAAAGACATAGGTGGATGATAAAATTATGCAAGTGGAAATTTTATGTTTCCTTGCACCTGTTCTGAATACATGCAAGTTACTTTCGAGACTACTAATCTAGACCATTGTGTCCCCATGGGGGTGATTTTGCTTCCCAAGGGTACATTTGTCATTTGTCACAGCTGTGGAGTTGCTGCTCTCCTGGTCAAAGAGGTTTTTGAAGCAGTGTTTACTGTTGTGTTAGCCCCTTCATAAGAATGATAAGCCCATAATCAGCCAAACGTGAGACAGAAGCTGAGAGTTAAGATTTCTGTTAAGATAGAATTTGTGATGTTATAAACATGCGTACTAAAGATATGTTATGATGATTAAGAGGAATTTTAAGTCTTATTAGCTATAACTAGAAAATTCTGGGTATAAACCTTGGGTGTTCAGCAAAACAGGAATGTTAGAGAATCCATAGAACTTACTTATATTCAAGTTAAGGCATAATTTCATCTAAGGCATAATAACTTAAGTTTGTATGAAATTGATATTAGTAATATTTCACCTTTATTATCATTTTAATCCTTGGTACAAAAATAGATTATTTAGAATATTTTTTAAACTAAGAACCAGATGTTGTTTTTAATGGTAAGGGCCGAGTAAAGATGTTTTGCTTATAAAATCATTTAAAATGTAACTAGGTAAACATGTAAAGTTCCTTCTAAATTCATGAGTGGTAAATCAAATAAGAAAAAAAGAAAAGAAGAAAAGGTGGGGGAGGCTGAATGCATTTGACGTGGGAGCTATAGTTGGCCAACCCTGGCCTTAATGTTTTAAGACAAACTTGGTTACTTTTCTCTCATTGCTGGGACAAAATACCCAGAACTTCAAATGAAGGGAAGAAAGGTTTTTTAGTTTACAGTTTGTGGAGGTTTCAGTCCATAATCCGCTGGCTTCAGTGCAGGGTGGCGTGTCACAGGGGCAATACTTCAAGACAGCAGCCAGCCAAGCCTCCTTTCTTCATTTATATTGTACACAGGCTACCCCACCCCCCCACCCCATGCCCACTTCAGGGCCTGTGTAGCACTCACAGAATCTCCTTGCCTCCTCTTGCAAAGGATGAGGATATTTACAAAGTAAGAACCCTGACTCCCTGCTGAGTCTCTTAGTTAAACTTCTGAAAATCACACATATCAAGACCTAATAACTATAGTGTGATCAAAATGTACAGTGAATATATATTTTTAAACATTTATTTTAGTAAGAAATCTACTGCTGTCATACTCCTTCAGAATATTCCCTCTCACTTTAAATACATTTATTCCATCATTCTTAGCAATTTATGCAGTGGTCCTACGACTCCTCTTTCATGATTGTCTTTAATTGCACTGTTGTAGCTGCCTAGATATCCTAGATCAATTCAAAATGTTCAGTTTTTGTGGTCACTTTGACTTTGTAGAGGAGGTGGAAGTCACATGGTGCCAAATTGGTGGATGAAGACACACCATAATATTTTCCAAGCCTATCTTTAGATTGTGTGGCATTCAGCAGCATCATGCATTCATGTTTTTTGAAGAGTTTTTGTTGGTTTGTCTATTGCTATGACATCTTGTAAAGATCCAAAGAAGACTTCCTGAACTGCTTAAGAAAATGTAAGAATTATGGGATTAACAGAGGCAGAGGAGTGTGATGAAGATCAATGGTGATGTAGTTTTTGCTGTAATTTTTAAAATTTAAACATTCATTGTATAATTTGATTGTATCTTATAGAAACTGTATTAGATTATGTGTCTATATGTAACCATGTCCTTTAGGCTTTTGCTTGGAGATGTGAGATGTGGAAGTGGAGACCGTCGTGTTCATAAGTGGGTTTGTGTTGTTTTGTTTTGTTTTCGATTACAAGTTTTCTTGTGAATTCCTTTTTTAAAAATTTATAAGTTGCTGCCCTCTTGTGGGAGTCCTGTGTCATTGTGCTTCTTCATTTCTTTGCTTTATGATGGATTTGTGTTTATTAAACATAACAGCATACTCAGAGGTGGAAAAGCCTCTGGATTTAATTACTAAACCAACAAGAATTGATTATAGCTACTGATGCTTAATATGAATGGTAGAGTTTACTTATGTAGTATATTTCTGAAATATATTAATGTGTTTTGAAATTCCCCTCTGGTACAGCAGAGCCAACACTTGTAATATAACCTGACCTTTCTTAGATGTGTGCTCAAGGCTAGTTATTTCATTTAAACAGCTTTGAGATGTGATTCAAGTACCATACACTCCATTCCTATAAAATATATAATCAGTACTTTTTAGAATTCACAGGTTTATGCAACCTCTGCCACAATCAAGGTAGAGATATTTTAATTCCTTGAAAGAAACTGCTTTTTAGTTTTTGTCCTCCTATACTACATCTACCTCAAAGCCATCAATAGCTGTTAGTTTACTTTCTGCCTATATAGATTTGCTTATTTTAGATATTTTGCACAAATGGAATTACATGTAGTTCTTTGTGATTGGTTTCCTCACTTAGCACAGTGGTTTCGAGTTTTATCTATGTTGTTGCCTAATCGATACTTCATTCCTTTTATATCTAGATAACATTCCTTTGTATGAATGATATTTTAGTTATTTTTCTCTCATTGCTGAAACAACATACCCAATGCCAAAGAAGAGAAGAAGCTTAGATTTTGTAGAGGTTTCAGTCCATAATCAGCTGGCTCTAGAGCAGGGTGGCATGGGAGACCGGTATCACGGAGGGGAAACAGTTCATAGGCAGAAAATGGCAAAGCAACAAGAGACGACCACTGCTCTTCTAACCCTTATATCTTAACAGGGTGTGCAGGGCAGGTAGCACTCACACTCTTAACCCTAGTGCCCCGATCCAGCATTGCACCACAAATCAGTTCTAGAGTCACACAGTGTAGATTCAGCCACCTCTGAAAAAGCCCCACTGCTGAGGTTGTGGAGGGAAGCCTGCCACAAGATGGGTGCCGTAACAGATGGGTAGCATTTGGTTTTCCTGTTCATCAGTTAGTTGGTAAGACATTTGATCTATTTCCACTTGTGCTCTTGGCTATTTTTATATCTTTGGCGAAATAGGTATTCTTTTTCTGTTTTTAAGTTGTGATTGAGTTCTAAGCATTGATTTTTTTTGGATAATATATCTACTTTCAATATCATTTTATTTAAAGTAAGTTTCTTATAGACAACATGTAATTAGGTCCATTTTTTTTACCCATTAGGTTAATTTATATCTTTTTTGATATATTTAAACTATTTATACTTACAATAGTTATTGATGTGTGAGGACTTAAGTTTGCCATTTTCTGTATTCTGTTTCCATTTTATTGTGTTCCTCAAATTTCATAAACATTTAAAATTTTGTCTTAACATATTTATAGTGCTTTTGAGTGCATCTCTTTGGATAGCCTTTGTAGTTATTGATCTTACTCTACAGAAAATTTTCAGACTCAAGGTATAGGCTTGAAGAAAGGGAAAATGGTACTAATGCAAATTAAAAGTCTGTCTTGTGTGAGGCTGATGGACTGGAGAGTAGAAAATTTGAAATAGTTTTTTTTTCAGTATTTGAAAACATTGCTTTCAACAAATCTTCATTTTAGTTTTTTGTTACTCTAAGGTAAATAAATGATGGTGTCATCGAACATTTATGTTAGAAACGCACTGATTTATAAATGAATGAAATTTATAATAAAGCATTATAGATTTTACTTGTGGAAGTGTATGTGACACATCATTTATGCCAGTAAACTCTGTTATGTGTCCTGTGTATATGTGCATATTCACTCACCTGCTTGCCGACCCCTCTATTAACCTTAAACTAGTTGTTAAGCATTTAACACACTTCTGGGAATTTCACTAATGCTTTGAATTTTTAAAATTAAAAGTACCTACAATTTTAGTTTAATAATTCTAACTGAACAAACTAATCACAAGCACATGTTTCACTGTGCCCTCTTTTACAGTATCATTGTTTTTACTTGGCCGGGAGCTGCCATTGGATGCTGATTGTCTCAGGCAGACTATATGCATGACTGTGGTTAGACACCACAATGAGACGAGTACAGTATGCTTTCTGAATGTAGGGAAGTTTCACATTGATAAACACTAGGAGAATGTTCACAGTTCTGTGAAACGTTCATGAAAGAGTATGTCCTCACTTCTCTTGCCTTCGTATCATAAGGATCTGGGTAGCATATCCACTCACTCCATCCTGTTACACTGATACTGTGGAGAGTGGGTGACAGGATCATGTGTTGCTTACCCCCTTGAGAATGGTGAAGAATGTCTGTTTAATTTCCACATGCTTCAGGGATTTCCAATATGGTATTTTATAGTGTGATACAGATCAGCAAGAAATAGTCTAGTATTTCAGCCCTAAACTTTTTAATACATATTTTATTTGTGGAGTATTATTTAAGGATTCCTTTAAAATTACTCAATATTGCAGTGTCTTCTCTAATTTATAGAGGCCTCTTTATGTCTCTGCAGTGCTGAATAATTGTGTATATAATATTCTTTTTAATGACTTTATTTCTATGATAAATGTTTATGTGCCAAAACTAATTGTAATAAATTTGTCTTGACTTTTTCCCCTTTAGGTTGATGAGCGGTGTTAAAAATAATGTTGGAAGAGGGATCAATGTTGCCTTGGCTAATGGTGAGAATAGTTACTGTTACCTGTGAATGTAAACAGTGAATAGTCTTGTGTCCCAAAGTAAAATGTACACTTGCCTCCAGGGATCAGGTTAGAAAAATGCCACATTTTACACTAAAACCTGTCCCTTAAACCACCAGATGGAAACTCGGTCCCTAACAATGTATAGCATATTTTCGCAGAAGTACCCCAGCTCTGTGTGGAAAGCTTCCTATGGAGATTGTTAGGATAAGAGCAGTCTAATGTTAAATTGTTGGCATCTTGCTGTACATTTGGGAACTGTAGCATATTGAGATAAGTAGAATGAGGGTATGTAAGGTAACAGGATTATTGACTGTGATAGACAAAGGGAGGAACAAAGAGTAAGAAATGTTCTCATTTTTCAGTGTTGTTCATATTTTCAGAAGTTTATTCTTATAAATAAATTCACTGGATCTTAAAAAACCTTGAAAATTAAATCTAAACGCTAACTCACAGAGTGTGGGCAGACTGCACATTGATGCGCTTTGTTCTGGTGTAAATATCTTATCCTCATGTAGCATGGTTAGAAACCACCCGCTGCCTTATCCCATTCACCTTGTAGAAAAATAGTTTTTATTTCTTTCCTAGTTGAGAAATTTTTGCCTTTCTGGTTGTTTCATTTTTTTTTTTTTTAAGTAAAGCATTCAGTATCTCTTTAACCTATTTTCAATGATAAGTAAATGTAAATTTTAAAAATATCTTTAGAAAGTAGTATCTGGTTCAATGTGCTGAATTCTATTTAGTCCTACATTTTAAGTTTGTAAATAGTGCAGTATGCAAATTTTTAGTTCAGTACATTTTTTTAAAAAGCATGGTATCTGATTCAAGTAGAAATTTGTTTGCTGTCAACTTGTACAGTTGTTGGTAATTCCTAAGGAATATAGTAACACATAAGGATAAACTATATCTAACTTTGAATTGAAATGATCTTCCCTCAGTAATGAGCTTCTGTTTGCCACTCTGTAAAAGATTGATGAGAAAGCCTTATCTAGAAATTATGGTTTAGAAGTATGTTTCTAATGCATGTAATTCCATTTTTAAATTCTCAGTAGTAATGAATGCACACCAGTCATTGAATAAAACCATTTGCCTTCTGCAGTGTATGGTGTATTTCATTTGCATAGTTTGACTGAATTCAATGTTTTTCAGGCAAAACGGGAGAAGTATTAGACACTAAATATTTTGACATGTGGGGAGGAGGTACGTGTGAATAATTTCTAACTCTTCTGTTGGCACTGACTTAATCACATCAAAATAGTATAATGCGAGTAATGGTATCATTTGGTGTTCATTTTATTTCCTTGCACTAAATGTCCAGCTATATTTATGTGAGCAGCCATACTGTATACAGTTTGTTTGTGGTGGGTCATTGAGCATAATAATATGAAAGTAAAAGTTTTATTTAATTTTTTGTTTTGGATACTGGGAATCGAACCCAGTATCTTGCACTTGCCAGGCAGATGCTTGCATTCTTGAGCCCCAGCCCAAAAGTAGAGATTTTAAGACATCTGAGTCCTTTCTTATATAGGACAACTATTTCAGAGCCGTAGGCTTCTTTAGGTTTCTGTCTGAGCTTAAAAAGAATAATTTGAAGACTGAAATAGCCAGTGTAAATACTGTCTGAATTGATTTGTGCTTACATGTGATTTTGCAGTTTCAAGAGTAAAGCATAAGGAGCTTTAGATAGACAAGATAAAATGTCTCGTTTTAGAAAATAGTAATCCTATAATTTATTCTAGTTCTGTTCTCTGACTACAGTATAGCAAACTATTAAAATAAAATAGAATTTTCTAATTCTGTGTTCTTGGACCATCCACAAATTTTTTTCCCTTCTGTGTTTGGAATTATTCAAGGAGTGGAAAGGACTTTTCACTAGAAATCACTGCTTTTCATATTTCATATTCAGAAATGATTATGATGGGGTTGGGGATTTAGCTCAACAGCATAAGTGCCTGCCTTGCAGGCGTGCAGTTGTGGGTTCTATCCCCGGTACCAATAAAAAAAAAAAAAAAATGATTATGATGGCTGTTCATTTAAAACAAACCAACTCTTCTTTTTCAGATGTGGCACCTTTTATTGAGTTTTTGAAGAACATACAGGATGGAACAATAGTCTTAATGGGAACGTATGATGATGGGGCAACCAAGTATGTAAACATCAAAGTTTGTTCAACTCTTGTAGCTATAATTTATAATCATAAAAGCAACATGTTTTCATTGAAAAATATTTGTTAAGTAGACCAATTGCAACTATCAGATAAACACTGTCAACATTTTTTTTTTTTTTTGCAAACAATTCCACTTACATAATATTTCTTAAATTTGTAAGAATTGAAAATTGAACCGATGGAATGCTGAGCTACCTTCTTAGCCCTTTTCTTTCTTTTCTTTTAATTTTATTTTGAAACACTCTCATGAAGTTGTCCAGGCTGGCCTCCAGCTTTGTAGTCCTGCCTTAGCTGTCTGATAGCCAGAAGTATAGCTGTGGGCCCCAGACCCAGCTGTGACCAGCATTCTTAAAGTCTACATCCTGCTTTTCTTCCTATGTAAACATTTATCATGCATATATAGTCATAAAATTAGAATCGCATTGTCCATAAATTTCTTCATACTTTGTTTTATATTCTATTTAAAAACCTTAAATTGTGTTTCCCCTGACATTCTTCGGTACCGGTGTTCAAGCCTTTCTAGCAGTTCATCACACTGGCTAACCTGTATTTAAAAATTTCCTACTGCCAGATGTTTCGTCTTATACATAACATTGTGATAAACATCCTCAACATGATCCTTTTTTTCTTTTTGCACTTTTGCTTATAGCCTTAGAGTGTATTTCTACACTGGAATTAATGGTTAAAAATATACTAGTGATACTGTTGGTTGCAAACTTTAGTAGATGGTAGACACGTAATTTTTTCTTGAAACTGTATGTGTCATAAAACTTTGGAAAACATGGAAGAGCACAAAGAAGAAAACAAGTTGCAGTTCATTTCATCATACAGGAATGACCACTGATAATACTTTAGTTTCCATTCCAGATGACTTAGTGCACATATTTTCTTCTTGCTAAATATTTAGAATGGTGGTATTTGTAGCTTACTTTCCACAATTGTGGTGACTATTTCCCATACTGAATATTCTTCATAACAGAAAATTGTTCATGTCGGCCTAGCCTATTTTTTAAACATGTCATCATTTATAATCTTTTTACTTACAATAACTGTAGACCATTTCCAATGTTTTATACTTGGCAAAATGAGTTCTCTGAACATTTTTGAATCATCTGTGTTTGTATTCTGAGATAAACATTTTGAAGTGAGATTGGTGAATTTAAAAATGTGCACACTTAAAGAGCAGTGCTTTAAAAAGTTGTGCAAACCGTGTATTTTTCTGAGAAGTTTGTGGACACCAATTTTTTTAAAGTTTCAATTCTAAAAGTTTGGGTGATTTTTTGTTTTTGTTTTTGTTTCCGTTTTTGCAGTGCTGGGGATTTAACCTAAGGGCTCTTGCATGCCAGACAAGTACTCTGTCCTTGAACTACATATGTAACAAACCATGGTCCCCCTTCCTTTAAATTTTTTTTTTTATTTTGAAACAGGGTCTCACTGAATTTTCCAGGTAGGCCTCGAACTGAGATCATTTAGCTTTAGCCTCTGCAGTAGTTGGAATTACAGACATATACTATCGTATTTAGTGCTAAGTTTTGAAAAAGTATCTTACCTTTGAAAAACATGACTTCTTTTGTTTGAGAGATGAAGTGTTTTGGTACTCTTTAATAAGTCATGGTTGACCATTCACATTGGTCCATACCAATTTGTAAGAGCATTTAGGTATTATAATATTAACCATTTATTTTTTTAAAATGTATTTTTGATGCATAATTCACTTTTAATTTTGTTAATTTATGGTGCTTTCTGACTTTTAGAAGACTGGACATTGTAGAATTTGTGGATTTTTTTTTTCTTTTACTTGTGTTTTTTATATCCAAATTAGATTTTTATTGCAGTAATTTCACAGTAATCCTACAATTTTAAAAATACATGTGTAATTTCTCTGAGACTTACAATGCTTTTACCAGGTTCTTATGTTGATCTGATTATATTTTAGAAATTTATGTTCCATTAATCTATTTACTTCTGTTCCCAAAGACAGTATTTAAATTATTTTATAACTGTGTTATAAAATTAAATGTACTTCATACCATTCCAATAGGCTAACCCCTTCTTTTGTTACTTGTCTTTTTAAAATTTCTCCTAATTTTCTTTATTTTTTCAAGAATAATAAAAATCTTAGATTTTAATTGAAAAGGCTTCTCTATAAGACCCACACAGGAATATGGCATATTTATTTACAGGTTTTTATGAAAATATTTAGTGTATAGGAAGTGTATATCAAGAAAACATGGCCATTTTATGAATGAGCCTAGACTAAAGTAATTTCTTTGGCACTGTGCATTTTATTTGGTTCTGTAAAGGTACGTTAAATCTGTAAGTGGAATTTTAATATAGTAATGGCAAATTTAGTCATCTCCATGTTGCTCAATAGAACCAAGCAGAATGTAATTAAGTATTTTATCAAAAAACAAGTAACTTACCGTTTGCTTCATCAGAGAAAATGCAGTATTATATGTATCGTTGGAGGCTTTAAAAAAGCTCCCATTTTCTGACTAGACACATCCAACCTTTCTTCACCATAATATGCCTGATAGGACTCAGAACTGTTCTCCTTAATCTACTGATATTTCAGTAAATTGTAGCCTAAGTGAAGGGTTTTAGTGTTGATTCCTTGGATTGAGCAGGGACCTTAAAAGCCATCTGAGCCAAGATCCCAGCCTGGAGGTTCTGTTGGAATACGAATGAATGTGTATATACAGCCCTCACCTGCTGAAGATGCTGTGTCTCTAAAACAAACTAACTCATAAAGAAATGTTATACTTTTAGGATAGCTTTCTTCTCAGTTCTGCTTGAGAGTCATTATCTTGGGTATACAGAACAACAAAACAGCAAATCGTTCTCCAAGTCATTTGCTTCTTGAAGGATTTAAAACAAATCGGCATTTCCTTTTAGTTTTCTCTTTTCCAGGCACAACATGAATGGCTCTTTCAACCTTTTATTGTGTTAATTTCTAGTTTGTTTTACTCTCTTGGCTATATTTCTTGGACATTCTTTAGTTGATTACTGTCTCTTTTAAAATAAGAGCCCCAAATTAAACACTGTTCCAGATGTGGTCTGGCCAGTACAGTGTACAGTGGAGATGCTAGCTTGCCATGTTTTAGAGATTACATTTCTTTGAATATTCATGCAGACTGGTATTATATTAGTTTTCTTTAAACAGTCATATCCCATTTTTGGCTCACAAGTTTTTGGTCAAGTTGAATTCTCAGATCTTTTCATTTGATCTCAGACTTTAAAAAAATTATTTAGTTTTTATTTTTTTAACCACTGCCAAGTCAGGTCTTTCTCCCCATTTAGAACATGATTTTGTTTAATTTAAATGAAGGACTTTATATTCATTTATTCTTGTTGAATTTAATTTGGCTGATTTGTGCCTACTTGGTCTTGATCCTGACGTTTGCCCTACAAGGCTTCCGTGATCCAGGCTTTGTACTTTCTCCAAAATCGTTTTTTAAATATAAGTTCTTGATACAAATGTTTACCACCGGCAATGTGCCACTCTGCTAGAGGCCACTTCCTCCAAGGGGTTCATCTGTTAATCAACTGCAGAAATTACTTTCCAAACTACTGCCAGTGTACCCCAGTAACCTTAGCATCCAGCTGTAATTTTATTATTTTATTCATCGAGACTGTTTTCCAAGACTATCAGATGCTCACTTAAGATTCATGGACCATGCTAATTATAATACCCTGATCTACTGACACATAGCTAAAATAGCTGAGATGTCATTGATTGGTTTTCTTTTTCTCACTGTTTAACACTGCTCCTTGTTTCTTTCCTTTTATTTTAATACTCACATATGACTTTGTTGTCTGCCAGCCTAAAATTTCAGTAAGAATTAGAATTAGTTCAATCGGACCACTGATTTTAAAATTTTCCTTGCCTTCTTGAAGTAACTGTCTTTTTTTTTTTTTTTTTGTCTTCTTGCTTTTTATCGGTACCGGGGATTGAACTCACAACTGCCTGCTTGCAAGTTAGGCGCTTATGCCGCTGAGCTAAATCCTCAGCCCCGAAGTAACTGTCTTAATATTTTCATTTTCTGAGATAACTTTGACACTGGCTTGAAGATTACATTAATAGGTTCCTCTAGAATCTAAGTGTGTGATGTTTGTGGATCTGGAGGCTTAGATTCACTTTAGAGCACTTACATGGATGTTCTGGAGCTGCTATTCCATTTTTATGTTGCTCAAAGAATACTTGTCTCTATGGACATTCATGTTTTAGTCTGTCAGTAGTCTACATATGTCATTTTTCTTGTGAAAGTGTGTCCCTTCATTACTGACACTTAGTAGCAAAAGTTCTATAATAGTTTTATGCATCCCATGATTTTAAGCATTATAGATCTTCCTCATAGGAGTATTAAAAACTTTGTTACTAGTAACATTTGGGGTATGTTTATCCCTCAGTGTATTTTTTTTTTTTTTTTTTTTTGTATTGGGGATCGAACTCATGACCTTGTGCTTACTAGGCAGGCACTTATGTTGCTGAGCTAAATCCCTGGCCCTGTCTTTTATCTGTAAAAGCTTTCTTTTTTAACTTTGAGACAATTGTAATATCCTCCAGTAGTAGTACTAGCTTAGAAACTATCTTGCCTCTTTTCTGGGATTGTTAACAGTTAACTAGTGAAAATTATTGGTGTTCTTAGGTTTGAGAGTCTTATCCCTTTATAAGAATTTTCACTTTCTGATATGTGTTTTTTCAAGTCTGGCTTGAAAGCCACTTATGGTTAGTATTTCTTATTGTACCAACTACTGAGGTAGGTGGTTTTCATCCAGTTTCTGATACTTCTTTCCAACTAATTGTTTCCTACTGATCACAATTGAGCCCAGAACATCAGTTCTCTTTTATTGCTCTCTCTGCTTTGATAAAGAGGTATAGGTGTGGCTTGATCATGTGACTTGGGATCTCATGGGAGCAGACTCAAGCAGTTACCCAGAGACTCCCTTTCCATTCCCCACTTCCTGTTTCTACTTCATATTTCCTTTGTATACCATTAGAATAGTTTGTAAGAAATTATAATCCCTGTATTTGACTCTGTCTGGCTTGTCACAGATTTATTATATATTCATTTTTAGTAAAACTCTTCACTAAATCAGGCAATGTAATTTTTTTAACTCATTCAGTTAAAACTATCAGAAGGAGGGAAATATAAAACATGTAACTAACTCATGATACTCCCGTACATTTTAAAAAAGGTTCACCTTCAGTGGTCTAGAAGGAAACAGTCCCAGGTTTTCAAGGATCAGACAGGACTTGCTTAAGTTTTTTAGCAACAAATTTTGACAACACATGAAATGTTGAGAAGCTACTTGAGAAACTTATTAGACACTCTGTTTGAGATTTTTATTGGGAGTTGGTCACGTAGGCACCCTGTAACCAGCCCTTCACAAAATTGCAGCTACCCAGACAGAAAGCTGGTGTGTGCTCAGCAGTGTGATTTATGCACCAGTGTGATTCAGCAACCATCCTCATCAGTTGTAGAAAGGCTGGTTCTACCCTACTCCCATCCAGTTGTCCAGATGCCAGCCAAGGCCAATTGTGCTAGTGGGTCTTCCCAAGGATGCACAGCTTGGGCCTGCTATGTTAATGCTTTTCTACACAGGACTTTAGGATGTTCTCATGGAAAAGTAAGGGGAATCAAAGTGTAAAGCTAAATCTTTAGGTTTCCTCTAAATCTCAGGTGAAATTGGCTTGGTTTATTCATATAGACCACAGTGATTGCTTCTGAAATTGAAAAGTACAGAAATAACCATAACAGACTGCCCTTCCATGTATTTTTAGTTGATGCAAATTCTGTGATAAAAAGATTTTCCTTATCTACGGGGACCAGACTTGCATTTGGGTAAACATCTACTTTGGGAGCAGATTTGGGTAAAAAGTAGTCCTTTGTCATTGATGGATTTACCAGCCATTATTTTAACTGTTTCTTGACAACCAAGAAGGCCTGTGAGTTGGCATTTTGCAGTCTTTCTGAGATGTACATACGAATCGATCCCTAACACTTTCTGTAGGAAGCAACCATGTAGGTACTCAATAAATCTACTGTCCACCCTGCATTTTAATACTGTTTATACTTGTTAAGACAGCAAAACTCAAGTATTAGTGTTACTGTAAGTGAAGAGTTCTCAGCAGCTACACAGTAGAATGCTTTACATAAAGTATGTGGAAAGAATTAAACAATTCTTCCAGATCCACAGCGTTCCAACATTACTTGGAAATAAGAAAATCGGGTTCAGGCAATATTGTACTTTCAGAGAGTTTCTCTTCAGAACAAAATTTACCTGTCAGTGGAACAAAGTGACAGCTAATTCTTACAATGATGATTATAGGAAATAAACCTGTAGAGAAACTTTGGGGAGAAAGTAAGAAGCATATATTCATCCAGTTCATGTGAGGGTCTCAGATTCCACAGAGAGTAAGATGATAGATTCTTTTTGCACCAGAGACATTTCCCTCTGTTTTCATTCACTTGATTATAATAAATCACTTCATGTAGAAGGGAGTTTGAACAGCTAAAAATATTCCAGATCTATCACTTTGCTTCATGACTGCAGTGTAATTTCTCCAGGTAGACAGTAGTGCCTAAACTGTGGTCAAAGCCACTCTGTTGCCCCATGGATATGGTTGGCATAAATTGTGAAATTTGAATATTTGGTTCTTTCATAAAGCTTGAAAAAAGAGTATCCCATATACCTTTTATGTTAGTTGAATGTTGTACCAATGTTTTTTCATTAAGATCCTGCAGGACTTAACAGATAAGAGCATGGGTTATGTGAAAGAACACTGAGACGTGAAATAAGTACCCTCTTCACTTCCCGCCGTTTCCAAATGCAAATGCAGGTTTTAGCAGAACAGACCTATCTGACCTGGAAGAGCTGTTGCTCTGTAGGTAATATTCTGGAGGACTTTATGTCAGAGAACATATCCAGGTTGCCCTTAGCTGCTTCTTGCCTTTTTCCCCCCTGCACAGCTAGCATTTATTTACTGAGTTTCTTTCCCTCTTAGGGAACATCCAATATTAGAATTAAAAACCATACAAAAAATTTAATAGTAATTTAAATTAATAATTGGCCACATGTCTTTTTGTCACTGCCCTCCCCTTTTAAATATTTAGCTGCTAGGTGATAATATTTTTCATTTTTATTAAATAGCAAATTAATTTTTATGACTATATTCAGAATTTAAACAAAACAGGTAGTGCCAGAAGTACTCTGATTTCTATCAGTATTTACCTTTATTCCATTTGCACATAATTTGCAGAGGATTTCATGGAGATTCTAAGTGATCATTAATTTTTTGAAGGTATTTGTTGCTGAAGGCTTTGGATAGCTTGGCTGAGCTTCTACAGACAGTTGTATGCCTTACATTAATATCAATAAGTAATTAAAATAATTCAATGAAAGCAAACTATTGTGTGAAATACAGACATCGAAAAGATATTTCTTAGTAGGCTAAGAATAAAATTAACTGCTAATCTTCCATGCCTTTTTTTAACTAAAGAATTCAAGTAAAAGTATTAATTCTGTGAAAAAAAGTCATCTTTTTTTTTATGTTCTCATGTTTAAGGCATGTTTGTTAAGAATCTTAGGTGATATTTTGACTTCATGTTTGTTAAATATCCAAGGTGATTCAATGTTAAATAACCTGTAGTACCTCATCCTTTTTCTTTTTAAGACTGAACGATGAAGCACGGAGGCTTATTGCTGAATTGGGGAGCACGTCTATTACTAACCTTGGTTTTAGAGACAACTGGGTCTTCTGTGGCGGGAAGGGCATTAAGACAAAAAGCCCTTTTGAACAGGTTAGTCTGATATTCATAACTAATGGACAAATACATTGCCAGAGCTTCTGTTACATATTCCTGTCCCAGCTACTTGAAAATTAGATGAAACAGGTACTAAATAATATGTTCAGATGCTTTTCTTAGATTCTTGGTAATCAGTTATTTGAAACAGCCATGATACTTTTTAAGTTTTAAAATTAAAAAAATAAACTTGAAACTCTGGATGGGTATTTTTTTTGACACTGTTGAAATAGAGTTACTTTTTAGCCTTTTAGAAAACATCAGTTATCAAGGGTTTTAGATAACAAGATATGTGGCTTTTAGATATGAGACTCACTTAACTTTGGAAATACTTTAGACTTTAATAGAATATAAGCTTTACTTTTTGTCTTAACAAATGATCTTTTTAAAAACATGTGCAATATTTTGTTCTTTTTAACTATTTTTGAAGACCTGCATGTATGTGCCAGGTCCCAAGGGTCACACATTTATATCTTGAGCAGCCATTCCTATGATTTCATTGCTGATATGAGTTTACTAAAATGCAAACACATAAAATACGGTAGTTCAAATCAGCAGGTTCCAAAGGTTTTCTAAACATTATACTATTATTGTGTTCCGATAGCACATAAAGAACAATAAGGACACAAACAAATATGAAGGATGGCCTGAAGTTGTAGAAATGGAAGGATGCATCCCCCAGAAGCTAGACTGAAGACTGAAGGAAGCACACTTTCACTGTTAATGGGAGAGCTATAAAGAAGCAGCTACATGTAAATATTTTAATAGCATGCAGCCATCTCGGTGTGTGCATGAACATTCTCTTTTGATATCAGGATTATTTATTGCTAACGTAAATAGCTATCTTTGTAAATAGTCCTCACTGTGAGCAAATCACTGAACCCTTTTTAAGAACATTTGCCTAAGAGTACAGTGTTTAGACTGCAATGGGAACCTACTATAATACTAAAAGTGTACTGAGTGGGTAACTAAAGAGATTGTGAAAATATTGATATATATATATGGTTGTTGTGAAAATGTATCATGACTTTCAGGAACGAGATTTTGCTTATATAGAGTGACATATATCTGGCCTTGTGATTACAGTATCTTTTAAATTAAAGAGAGATTTGACTAGCTGTATGTGTAATATTACCTTACACTCTTGATTCTCCTTATGTACCTCTTTTCTTAGTGTTTATTTTTCCTTTCCAAAAAAACAAGAAATAAAATATTTGATACACAAGTCTCAGATTTGTAAAAAGCACAACAAATTCATTTTTTAATGCACACAGTGAAAAGTATATAAATGCAGGTGACATTCACAACAATTCTCTGGATTTTGTGTTAGCAGTGTGAATATAGAGTGAAACGAGATGGTAACTTCACACAACTGTAGAACCAGGCCAGGCCCCTCCTCAACCTAAGTAGGTCGTGCAGGCCAGCCAAGGCAATATACTTAAAGCAATACAAGCATATGTTTTCCCTTATTTCTTATCAGCATTGACCAGTTGGCCAAGTGATTGGAAACAAGGCATGTCTTAGTATAATAATTATAATTTGGAAACCAAGAAATTCCGTGTGTACTTCATCTGACCTCATAATGGTAATAACTGCCCAAAGCTATAATGGCATACCATACTTATAAAAGTCCTAATTACTGAGTAAACCGATGATACTTTAAAAATAATTTTTATTTGACCCAAAATGATTTTATTCCCAATTCTACATAAAAATATAGATAGCCCTTTCCCTTAGTTTCAGATGATCAATTTTAATGGTTTTAGGGCATTTAATGTTGCGTATGCACTACCTTACACTGGAGCATAAACGTGTTTGATAATAAATTTGTCTTTCACAGTGTAAAGCAGTACTTAAATGTGAATCTAAATAATTTTAGATGACTTGTATAAATCTCAAAGCAGTATTTGTTATTTTCCTGTAAATTGGAAGTTACTTGGATGTTTCTTAAATATTAATAAATTTTTGAGTACTGTTTCTTTCCTCAAACTGAATGTAATTCAGAAGTCAGTGCACCTTTTTGTTTAAGCAATTTTTATAAACTTTTTAGATTTTTGGTGCTTATATACTAAATAGCATGCAACATGTATATTTTGACATTTAAAATACTTCCCTAAATTCTGTAAATTAAAAGAACAGCTATTTCACAGTTCCAGGGATTGTAAAATAAATGTTGCCGTTTTTTTTAATAATGAAAATAAACATTGGTTTTTTACATTGTCAATTTTTTCTGTATTTGGCAAAGTAATAATAACTGAAACGACATTAAAGGATTCGTCAAACATTTATGGTACTGCTTAACATGCAAAACATTAAGGCATTGTTGTAAACATAGTAATATCCTCTAGATATATCTTAACATGTATAGAATTTAAGAGTGTAAATGGCAGGACATATCTTTGATTTTTAAGATTGTAAAAAGGTGTTATTCAGCTATAGAACATGTCAAAAGATAAAGATTGGTTATATAACTCCTTTGGTACAGTCTGTTTTTGTCTAAATTCTGTGTTGTATAGCTTGTGTCAACTTAGCAATAATTTTACATTTAATTTTCAGATCTCTATAAACAGCATTATAAATGAAATACTGCTCATTTGATGTTGAAATTTCTCTTTATTAAAGCCAAAACTTTAACATCAACATTTTAGTAGTTTAACTGGTGTTTAAGGGCTTGTACATATTTGATACATATTTGAAATCACAGATGCATATGTAGAATAAGTGTACTACTACAAAAGTGTTAAATAGTAAAAGGAACTATAAAGTAAATGATATTTGGGAAAAATTAAGTTAGTCTTCATATTCCTATTAAAGTGAAATTAACCATTGCTTCTTCTGTATTTGTTTTTAAGTGAATCAGTTACTATTTTATAATTTTGATAAATGAAAGCTTAATTCATTTATTGTGTATTTTACTTTATGCTTTAAAAGTTTATATAAGTTGTAAATAATTTGGCCCCCAAATTATATAATTTCATTGTTTGGTTCATTACTGTGCCCCTTTTAAATGAAAGAAATGTGCTGTTTAGTGAAGCTGTTAAAGTGAAAATGGTTTTAGAATAAGAAAGGGAAAAGTACTTGTTGATCAGGCAGATTTGCCATTCAACTTCTTCATCTATTTCATTCTTCTGAACAGCAATAAATGCATGTACCAGGCGTGACCAATAAATATGGATGTCTGCACTGAAAATATTACAGGAAGGATAGTGGTACCTTCTCTCAACTGTTCTTACCACTTTCTGAAGCAGTTCTGGCAGCTCTCTTTCATGTGCCCAGGTGCTCTGTCTCTTGTGTCCTCAGTCAGTTCAGAATGTTTCCCTCATGGTCATTTTGACTTTGGGAAGTTCACAGGGCCAGAGCAGCGAGTAAGGTAGCTGAGAACATGCTGTGAAGGAGCTGCCTTTGTGTTGAATGGCAGTTGGTGGCTACATTCGCTGATTTTTTTTTTTTTTTTTTTTTTAACCACACTTCATAAAAACAAAAGGGGACTTCCTAGAACTGCTTTAGAAAGCAAGAGTGATGGGATATGAGTGTTCGATTTCTGTTTGGTTCTGATTGCCACCTTCTTCTGACCTGTTTAATGGCCATGTTCCTCGGTGTTCCTGTCATGATTTGCTCTGTGTTGCAATCCCTTCCATGAAGCAGTAGTCAAATCAAGGGCCAAGTAGAGTAAAAGGGCCAAGCAGGCAAATCTGGCAAGAGAACAGCAGGCAGTTGGGGAGTTATGAGTGGTGGAAGAGGCTCACCATCCTCCAAACCTGCTTCCAGCCCAGTGGGGGGTGCTGTGAATTTAAGGTCAGATACGTTTTGGAATCACTTTGAGTGAGTGGTCAGAAGGACCTCAGGAAGATGCTGAAAAAGTTTAATTGTAGAAGTTAAGTGTACCAAGCAAAATGCCTGGCAAAAACTACTGATTAAATCAACTATCAGTATTGCTACTGTTACTGTTCATTCCTCTTGCAGGCTAATAACATTTTAGATGAAGAAATGGTGAGTCCGCCTCTAGCTTTCCAGCTCCACTGTACCTAGCTAGAAGGCAACCACTCAGTAACCTGAGCCAGGAGATCATAGGTAAAGAGCTGCTCACCAAAGGCTGACCTTGACCTCCAGCCCTCTTGACTGTTGTATAAGACCTGTTACCTCATGCTCTACTCCAGAACCAGAGTTTACATCATACAAGGAATCTAAGCTACCATAGCTCCAGGGAGGTAGTGTTGCAAATGTTCCACTTGCTGGTCTGACCTTTAAAATGGGAAAGTATTTGACTTCAGCAAGGGGACAGGGGCTTTTCAAAACTCCTTTGTGTGGCAGCCACCAGTTGTACCTCACAGGAGCACACACCTTGATCCCAGCTCCTAATAACCTGAGCATCCACTCCAACTTCTACTCTAGTAGTAGTTTGGGGGAGAGGCTGGAAACAAGTTGTACCCACTTTGCATACCAGCATTGACTCCGGCCCAGAGAGCCTTAAAGTTCTTGTCCAGGACAAAAAGGAATCTTTTCAATGTGAATTTTGAAAGTTTTTTTTTGTTTGGTGGTTTTTGTTTGTTTGTTTTGAGATTTTTTTTATTTGCTTGTTTTTTTTGTTTTTTTTTTTTTTTTCTTTCTGAGATTTGAATTTTATGCATTTGACTTTAAGCCACATTTCCATGGCACATCATGTTGCAGTGCTGCTAACCTGTGATGGTGTTTCTACTGTTGAATGTAGTGTGATGAGATGCAAAAACATCCTGTGACCAGTGACAAATCCTGGGACCAGATGTCAATCTCAGCCTTCTCTACCACTGAATAAAATGGCCAATTTTGAAGTATACCTGTTCAAGAAAAATGCTGTTTCCTGTACATACATTCCTCTGAGTAAAGGCGTGTAAATCTTACTCCTACATTTCAAGTTTTAGTAACTTGGAAGCCAGTATAGACGTGAGAAGTTCACTCTAAAACTTGATATGAATTGTGCAGTCTCAGCTGGTGTGCTGAGATTGCTTTATTCAACTAATGAATTTTAATGTGTAGTTGCTTAAGAAATAGGTATTTAGGGAAAGGAAAAATTTAAGCTGGTGAAAGAGAATTTCTCAGATAATGAGATTTATCTTTCAGTTTAGGAAATTACCCTGTATCCACTAAATAGGAGATACGGAAGATTTCTTCTGATGCCTTCTTCAGTTTTACCATTTTGCTATTCTAAATTTTGTTTCTTGTTAGTACATACTTGCAGCTTATAATTATTACAGTCTGTGGTGGACCACCACGCCGCCCTCCCCCAGGCCTAAGTGTGTTTGTGCTTTGTAGCAAGCAGCACAGGCCATATAGAGGTGACTTCCCTAAATCGTCTTTAGGTTCAATAGGGAGTCTGGCCGAGGCTGTGTACATGTCTTCATGACAGCAAGCAGGTGGCGTTGGCCAGCACTGTTCTTCTCCGGGGGCCACTGAACTGGAAAGGGGCAGGCTTTGAGACTGGGGCTAAGGTACGAGAACATCTCCGCTGAGGCCTGTGTAAGTCCAGAGGAAATTCCCGGAATTGTCCCCCATGCAGGTTACTCGTCTGTTCCTTTCACCACAATGCTTTCTTCCCTCTTTTATAAACTTTGCCTGCCTGGCCACTTGTCTAGCACATTCAGCCACAGTCCCCTTGCCATGCCTCAGTGTGAATATGATTGCTACCAAGGTTGTGGGTGGCCTTCTGTGGTGGCCCTGTGAACAATTGGTCATCCCAAGTCCCTCTTGCATTGCCATTTTGTCCTTTGCACTTTCTTTTCACTGTGTGTCGAAACACCTTGTAAGACATTGGAGACTCACTGCAGTGTCATTAATACATTCTGTGTGGGGGCTGAAATATATACATAGCATTTCAATATTTTCATCCTCTATCCCTTCCCTCTCTCCTTCCACGTCTTGGGCCCCTTCTGATTTGCAGGAGCTCTAGCTCCCTATTTCCTTTTATCCATCTTTGGTGTTTATATATATTGAGTTTCTTATATAAGAGGATTCACACAACTGATTTATTTCACATGGTCTCTAGGTACATCTATCTGCACATGACTCAAGTTTATCTTGCTTTATAGCAGAGTCATACTCTATTGTGTATAAATGCCACACATTCTGTGTCATGTATCTCTTGAGTTAGCTATTACGAATTGTGCTGTTATAAACATGGATGTAATTTTTTAAATTATTTTTGGAAGATACAGAGAATAGCTGCATAAATGGAATTACCGTATGCTATTCCTGGTCTGTTCTAGAACTTGAGAAGACCAAAAATTAGTTGTTAAGAGAGTTTGAAATAAAGGATTGCATGAGTAGACAATGAAAAGTGCAGATTATGTACTAAGAATAAACAATCATTGATTTGTATTTTGTTTGTTGACACCTTTGGCTGGTTTGGAAAGAGTTTGAGGTATATAGGATTTATCAGTCTTCATCAAGTAATTAGATTAACTAATGATATGCTTTCTTGTGGTTGATAGAGGTGACCCTGAGTGTTAGGTAATAATAAATGTAGAATGGAAGGCTGCTTGCCTCTGTGAAGAGAGTCCCTCGGCTTAGAAAGGCTATTTTCTGCCCTTCAGTTATGTGCAAATCAGATGCTTTCACTCTGCAAATAAAAAAGTTACATTTGACACTTTAGTTTGTGTTGACTTTGTCCATATTTGTTACTGCTTTTCTCTTCATAACTATGTGGGGAAAGGTTACTTTTTCTAGCATGACTTTGTTTTAACAGTTTTTAATATGGTGCAAACCATCACTAGTGGTTTTTCTTTAGATGTGAATAGAAACTGTTACAAATGGTAAGTTAAGTAACATTTGGCTGTGAGCACAACAATCAAAAGGATGTAACTATATCTAACTAAGTTAGTTTGATCTTAACCCAGAATCATTTCCTTTTGGAATGATTATTAGATTCTTGTATAACCACACTGTTGGCCCCATTGGGGTCTAAATAAAAAGTCAGTTTAAATAACTTAGAGCTTAGAAATCAAGAAGCAGGATATTTTAATTATATATCATGGCAAATCTCTGTTCTCAGTGTTCCTATCACTTTACTCCCTGATCTTCAACCACGATTATATAACCAAACCAAGGACACTATAATTTTCATTATATCTACAAATCTCCCCAAATACTTTAAATGGTATATTATAAATAGAGTCTGCTGACAACTTTGATACTGTGAGAGGCAAGGGACAATGAAGTGGTTGAGTACATAGACTCTGAAGCTTGTCCATTCCATGTGACATTTGTTGGGCTGGTTACTCGTGTCTCAGATTCCTAATCTTTAAATTGTTCGCCACAACAATGAGAATTACTGATTTGTGAGATTCCCAAGAGGAATAAGCACTACATATACTTCGTGTGTGTGTGTGTGTGTGTGTGTGTAGTATATATATATATATATATATATATATATATATATATAACAATATACACAATGGTACCTCAGTTCATGAATTTAATTCCATGATTCCGCTTACGAGTTGGGCAAGAACTGAATCAAATTCAGTGGTTAAGGTTATGTTCACTGTTGATCTTATGGGGGAATTTGATCTGGTTCTCATTCAATTCAGTTTGCGACCAGAATCATGGGGAGAATTAAGGTTGTGAACAGAGGCACCACTATATATGTAATATACTGAGACAGTGCATAGTAATTAGTGGGTGATTAGTGTCTGTTACTGTATTTTCTTTCAAAAGAATTGAGTTCCTTCCTCGTGTAGCACTTTGCTTGCTTTCATTCTATGTTATATCTGTTCTCTGGAATATGTTAGGGCATTACAATGGATCTATAGTAAATTGAAAAATAAAAAAAATAAATAAATAAAAGGCAGGCCAGCTTTCCTAAGGAGGAGCTTGTCCTAGGGAATAGCCATAATTCCTGATCTTAATTTTGTCACCTAGATGGATCACAGGGCTCCAGCTACTATCAGGCCCTGAGTGTTCTAGGTACAAACTTCTGGCTTAATTTCTCAGTCCTGATGACTTGCAACAAGTAATGCAAAAAATAATAACTCACTAAAGGACCTACTAGTATGTTGAGAAAATTTTCTGCTTCCACATTTTAACCTAAGCAAAAACAAAAGTCATGAGTACCAACAATTCTTTAGAAATTAATGTGTTGTTTAAAACTACTGAGATATCCTGTGATCCTAAAATCGCAAAATCATAAGCTCATGGTATCTAAATATATAATGAAAAATTTCCTGGCTGGATAATCATAGTTCTGTAAACAACCATACAAAACAACCATAAACCAAATAAGGAGTAGGAAATAGTGCAGTTGTTCATATTCAAAAGTGAGTATGTCATTAATGTTGTGTAGAGTACTGTTATAAAAGATTTAGTCAACTACTTTATCCAGAGGTTACAGATAATATAATGCAATTTTCCTGATTTTACCTTTGCATGAGTGTCTAAGCTATTTTTCCCTTTGCTAATACAAAATATTCAACATGGAATTAAAGTATGAAAGATTTATTTAGCGCATAGTTTGTAGAGATTTCAGTCCACAATCAGCTGGCTCCAAGGCAGGGTGGCACGTGGCAGAGAAGCATTCCAAAGGGGAAGCAGTTCGTGACAGGCAGAAGACAGCCACGCAACAAGCGATGATCATAGCTCTTTCTCTCCTGTGTATCTTATCCAGGTCACTCAGGGCAGGTAGCACTGACACCCTTAATCTTAGTGCACCATGATCCTAGCATTGCACCATGAATCAATTTTAGAATCACATGCTCTACAGTCAGCCTCCTCTGAAAAAGCCTCAGCTATGACTGCATGAGGGTTTGGAAGGCCATCTAAATTCAAGCCCTAACAATGAGTCACTGTATCTTATCACTGCCTATAATAGGCATTTTCAAATTAAAAAGTTGAAAAAACACACTGGAGTCACTCCTTCTCCCTTTTTTTTTTTAATATAATAAAAGACATTTAAAAAATCAAGGCACTTCATACCCACACAATCAATCATGTTGCTTTAGGCTTGCTTCAACTAATTATGACTTCTATTTTATGCCAGAAACTGATCCCTAAAAATCACTAGACCTGGAATATATAATGTCTTGATGCCCAGCACTCAGTTACACTTTACTGGAACAAAATTCTAGGCTTTCCTCTGCAGATTTTCCCCCTATTGTCAAGCTGTGTAATTTTAGTTGGTGTAAACCCCACTGGAGCTCCAGGCAAGAGCTAGCATTGCCAGAAGACACATCTGTGTGCTTGCTGCCCACCCTCAATAAGTCATTTTGATTTGTTGAATAATGAGTACATTTGAGTAATCCGGCTCATTTATACTCAGATGACCTTTGCTGGATTTTCTGGAAAATGTTCTTTCTTTTCTACGTAGGCAACCAGAAATGAGCCTTTTTCTTTCCTAAGAGTGAAATTTGTCTTTCTTTTATATCAATGATAGAATGTGCAGTCTGGAATTGTGGCAGCTATGATACTAAGCAAAGCAGAAAAGCTGGAGCCACTAGGGATGGTTTAGGGGATGACAGGATGGTGATAGATGGGGTAGGCACAGCATATTGTGGAGCTTGAAGTGAAGGACAGTGACAAAGTCTAAAGTGGAGAGACTCGGACTGAGGAACTAAGTGTGAGTCTTGGGATTAGGTTTCACCTGAAACTGTTACAATTCTAAAGTTTTCAGTTACTGAGTACATTTCTTTAACATTTACACTAGTCTGGACTGGATTTACTGTTACTTGCACCTTAGAAACCCTAATTAATTCAGACAAATAGCATAAACTAGAGAAGAATTTTTGACCCCAAAATTGTGCCCTTGAGCACCGTGGTGTTACTCTGAGATGATGGGAATGAAGGGACTGGACCAATGCCAGCACTTTAGTAAGATAGCTAAGAAACCCAACGTTGATTTCTACAAGAAAGAGAACGCAAGAATGAGAAAGAACCGAACCCAAAGACACGCTTGAGAGTTACTATAGGAGGAATTCTTGAGTAGCACATGAAAAAGAGCCTGCCTTAACATTTTGTTTTCAAAGAGATCGATGAACAATAATCCGATACTTTAAAATAGAGGGTGCTTCACTCTCATAGTCAGTTAAGGTAATTATGAAGTTTTTAGTCACTACTAGACATTACAGTCTTCCTCTTTTTAAAAGAGTGCTTATTTTCAATGAAGATAAAATGAGCGCCTCTGCAAAAAAGGTATGAGAATAAGTGTTTTTTTCACATTACTTTTTCAGCGAATACTAAGGAGTGTAAAACTACTTTAAATAGTTACTACTATATTTGTTCCCTGGCCATTTCTGAGTCTCTTATTTAGTAATTTACTTTAAGGATCACAGCTAAATGTTCAGTCTTGATTTTAATATTAGAACTGAGTCATTGTCACCTGGTTTCTTTTTTCATAAATCGGTAAATAAAACCAAAAAAAAAAAAAAAATAGACTGAGACCTTTGGAGCAGGGAAATATTTATCTTATTTAGAAAAGAATATCCTTTCTTTGTGCATGTTGAACATAAAAGTCAATTTTTCTATATAATACTGAAATATTTAACAATGCATAAAACACAGACATTTACATTACAATACAGCCTTAAATACAGCCCTATAATTTTCACTAGGACTGTGCAAAATATGGTGAATATACATGCATGAATATTAAAGCAAATAAGACCACTTCTACATTCAAATGGAAATGCAGCATTACATACTATATAATAATAAATATCCACAATATCAAATCCATAAATTGATCATCAATCTGATTTAAATTCTCTTCCCAGTTAGGACTTTTAATATATAACTTATTATTATAATGTTATGAGTTAAGAAAACTAAAGTGGAAAAAGTATTCAATTAATCTGGCTACTGAAATAACATACTTCTCAATATTTTGCAGCATGTTGTAATCTATAACATATAAAACTGTCATTTGCTAAGAAATACACATCCATATAGCTAATTGCTCAATTACCTACCTTCTTTTTCAATGTTAAAGAAGTTAGAGTTAGTCACGAAAAAAGGCTAATCTTATTGCTTTGGCAATAAAGGTCTGAAGCTTTAATATATGACATATAACTTAAATACTGTATTTACAAAATATAAATCTTTTTAGCAAAATATTATACAAAATACTGTCTTTGTACATTTAAAGGATGTTTTCTTTAGAATGTAAGAGAGCTCTGTATATTTTTACCTTACTTTTCCCACATGTTTTCAGGGTCTCTCTCCCACCATACCTTAGAGCTGATGTTTTTTAACAGTGAACACTGGTCTAAAATAAAAATATGTATCCAAAAATTGCTATATACCTTATAGAGGTTTTTCTAGACAAGTTCTACTAGTTAGAAGGCACTTAAAATCCAAATCATTTTAGTTTCTACATTTAAATTGTTTTTGTCACCACCCAGCTCTAATTATTCCTTTTTAGGGACACTGTATCAGTTTTTGCTTTGTTTTATTTATTTGTTTTTGGTACCAGGGATCAAACTCAACCTTGTGCTTGCCAGACAGGGACTTATGCCACTGAGCTCTGTCTCCACATTGTATCATACATAAAGATTCTTTTTAATTGTTCATTTGGTGTATGTAAAAGGGCAGACACCTACCACTTAGATTAATGCTTCAACATCTGCCCATGTGCAAACACTTTGTGTAATTTTTTCAATTACAATACCAAGAATGAGATTCATATTTATGTTCTTTGCTCCTTTAAGAGGTCTAAAAATGAGTAATGTTCACCCACCATTATCGATTTCCATAACTGAGATCCATAGTTGATAAGATCCATAGATCTTATCTTGAGTATGGATAAACTCTTCCTTAGCAAATGGGTTTATCTTCCTTAGATGTCAACCTATATCCTCCAAATCATCCAAAGATGAGTAGAAACTTCTTCAACTTTAAAATCTCAAGAAGTTTGCAGGATTGATGTGTGACTGGATGTCACTCAGGCAAAGCAAATTCCAAATAGACCAAAGGTCTGGAAATTGCAATACAGAAGTCAGTTTCCCCGGCCCTGCAGAGTAAGAGGCATCCTTTGGCTTGTAATCCCATTGTGTTGCTGAGCAGTATTGTTCCAGGCTAGATGGACTGGTTACTTACAAGTGTGGACATCTGTCATGCTTTCACACCTCCTGCAGCGGACATAGCAGCACCAGATAAACTTACACTCACACCTCTCCACGTGCCTGACCACATGGGTGTTGTAGCCTCGGCCACAGCAGAGGAGGTTGCAGCCATCTGCACCTTCTGATGTGCGGTTGCATTCCCTGCCTTGTGTTCCTGGGATTCCCAGTTTTTTATCTTCCACACAGTAGTTGGGAGACTTGTTAACATAGAGCAGGTCATCTTTGTGGATTGGTATTTTCCTCTGATTCTTTTCTTTCCTTCGCATCTTTCTCTTTATTTTGTCTGATATCTGGATACTATTTTCATATTTATCTTTTAACAAGTGGCCAATTTTTTCAAAAGAAGACATGGTTTTCCAGCATGTTTTCACAGCACAGGAGCCAGAAACTCCGTGGCAGCGGCAGTCTACTGACATCAATGTGGCGACAGCCTGAAACCAAGAGTGACTGTGTTCAAACACCATTCATTAAGTGTCATTTTAACGACAGAAGCACAACCAACCTAATCACTTAATTCTATGTATCTATTTCTGTGTGCACAAAAATGATGGTCTGTAATGTGAAGAATCTTTAAGACTATATAAGGTTCAAATATTTTGTCCTTTAGTTTTGTCCAAATGTCTTGACCTTGAACATCAAGGCTTTCTGAACAACACTAAAGGCATTAGTAGACCAGGTTAATATTACTATTATTGGAGAATATCTGGAAGACCAAAGGGAAATTACTCTCATTTCCAATACCCTACTCAATTTGAGACCTAAGAAGATGCTGAAGCATGCCTGTGAGTTTCTGATACACTTCACCAACTTGTTACTCAAAGTATCATTCAAAGATACATGTTCCTGCATGACTTTTGAGAAATACACTCAAGCCCCATTTCAGCCCTATGGAATCAGAAGGTGCATTTTTGCAAGATCCCCTTCTTAGCCATATTAAAATTTGAATAGAAGCACTGATATAGCTGATATAGCTCTTATGGGACAGTATACAGAAATTTCCCTGAAACTTTACAAGTAACTACTGCTCCAGTCCTTGAGATTCTGGCTTAATTAAACCAAACTGCTCAGATGATTTTAATGATGTTCAGTGATGACATTAAGAAGTCTTAGGTTCAATTATGAAGTTACCTTCACAGGGGTTAGAGGAATGGAGGGCATGCTACCCCATCACAGATCGTATAGAAAGCACTGACTAATCAAGTTAGACTGGTCAAAATGAGGAGAGCAAGAAATAAAGGTTTCAAAAGTTTCCAGTCCCTAACCTTTTATAGACCAAACTAGCCAACATAGCTTTCTTCAGTCAAGACGATGGCAGAACAGAATAATAAATCATCAAGACTAGCTGTAGAGTTGATATTCTGTCAACATACTAGGTAAAATGAAAAATAGATCCATGTATTTGAGTAACTTGGAAATTATGTATATAATCTCACCAAAGAAAGGAAAACCTCACAGTTTAAATTCCACTTACAGTTCTTATCAAAACTATAAAATGGCAAGTGTCTATGCTTTGTTATTTTGTGCCAAATCCAACATTGATATGTTTATGGAATTACATTTTCTAACAAATTAACAAAATTTTCTGAGCTATCTAATGACCCTGAATATTGCACACAATTAAGATTTATTTGCAATTTTAAATGAAAGCATATGGTATTGATTTGTACAAGGTTTAATACTTCTTACTAATGTTTAAAACAATAAAATAATACTTACACTCTGTTCTGTGCAAACCACAGCACATGTGCTTTTTTTGAATTCACAAAACCAAGAAGCTAATAAGCATATCAATTTCCTATGAACCCAGAGTAAAATGTACACTACAGTGATATAAGAGCGATTCATAAATAATGGCATGCAAGCTTGTTTCATTTAATTTGTGGTATCTGATATTCACAAAGCTATCAATTCTTTAAGATGCTCTATGCAAATAAATGTTTAAATTAAGCAGTCCGCCTACCTTTGTCCAGATTCTAAGTACCTGACACATACGAGCAAGAGAGCTCAATCAGTGGTAACAAAATAAATTGTCTAAGAATGCTAAAATTTTGACAGTGTGTGTTTGTGTGTTCAAACCAGTCGTCATTTAGGAATTTAAAGTGCTCATTTTCTAAGGATCATGACTGAGGAGCTGACTTGTCCTTTGCTTAACCTCTTTAGACATCATGTAAGGAGTTGCCCATTCCCAAGCCTGAAGGACAGCATAGATGCTCCACAAAACTGACTGAATTTACTGGAGCAGTTGTAGCTCATCCCCTCTTGGTAACCAGATGTTGAGAAAGTAATAAAAATCACGTTTGTGAACAAGAGTGGGTATAGGAGGGAGAATGGCATGGGGCGAGTCTGAGCCACCTTGGACTTTCCTCCAATTCCTCCGACCTTGCTTCGTCTTCAACAGTATTAGTCCACAACAGTGACACATCGCTTCATAGGTTCCAATTCAGCTTCATCACAAGCTGAATTTGTATCCGAATTTTAGGAAAAATTTTCTACTCTACTCAGGTCTTTTAAATATCTGAGGTTTATAATTCCAGTGGGAAAAATTTTTTTTTCTTTTTCTTTCTTTTTTTTTTTTTTTTTTGTATCAGAAATCAAACTCAGGAACTTGCATTTACTAGGCAGGCACTTATGCCACTGAACTATATTTCTGGCCCTCCAGGGACATTTTTTAAAAAGTTTATTTAACTTTTGAGTCAGCTCTAACAATAGATTTAAGAAAAGAAATTCTATTTTGAACATCTATATGCTATGTGTTATTTTTCTATCCTAGACTACATATATAAATGAACTTCAATAATTCAACCTCCAATTTGAATGGATATACCCTCTGCAACACTGCAAGGATAAAAACTGGCTGAATTAAAGCAATATCACCACTCAGAATTTTATGAAATGAATTTTGAGGTCAGACACACACACACACACACACACACATGCACCATAGAATTTAGTCTTTTTCAGAATTCGTAAGTTATTTTACTTGATTTAGGAAGAAATATTCTGCACTTAGTAGGTAGCTAACGAACAGGTACTTATGATTCCAGTTTTACACAGAAATAAACAATGTGGTTCAAACACTTACATATGTTGGTGATATATGATACAAGATCTTTATATGCAACAAGGTATTTTAATAGAACAGAGAAATGAAAAATGGAAAATATATTTAAGGAAAGCACAGGAATAGTCCAAAAAAATGAGAAAGATGAAAAAAATACATTCTGTATCTTTTCTGCTAGGGTCCTTAATTAATATTAAACAGACGTTTTGAGTTGTAGTGGTAGTTTGGTCAAAAAGTAAGACATATAGTAGCTGAATGAGTTGCATGCGGTTATGAGAAAATTCCTCTCTACTCTAGTTGAGTTGTTAAGGTTTATAACGATATTAACAGAGGAATGTTTTGTTAACTATTGCAAACAGATGTGCACATTTCGGAGGACCATTTTTTTTTTAAACTATGGGAGAACAATTAGGAAGGACGGTGTCATTTTAATCTACTGGAATCCTCAAATACATTTTAGTTTGATAAATTTCTAATAAAGTGTTTTAAGCACTGGTTGATTCTGTAATTTTAACTCAAAGATAATGCAACAAGAAGGAATTGTGTTTCAACACATTGCTTTATCCTGATTTTACAAGAATAGTCAGAAAAATGTTGCAGAACATTTTGTGATCAACATTTAATTTTGTCAATAGTCAGATGAACTGTTCAAGATTTTATGAACACTGCTGGATGGATGTACATAGAATTCTTATTTCTTTGACCAATTTTGTCCCTTTCTGCCCCCAAATACTGTATATTTCAACCTGCTGAAAAGAAAAAAATGTACGTATTGTTCAACTACTTATAAGTATTCTTGAAACAGGTCAATGAATTTGGGGCTGGCCCTTCCCACTTTGTTGAGTTACTCATCATAAAACAAATTACGGGGTAGAGAAACTTAAAAAGTTTATGAGGTGGATATGGTAAGAATGGAAATATTTTAAGCACACCAAAAGAAATACCCATAAATATTCCAAGTCACATTATTCCCAGAAGTTCTACCCCTGGAAGACATCACATCATTCTGTTGGCCAATCATCATCTAGCTACATTATTCTTGGAGTCATAACTTTAGGAATGGTGTCAGAAACCAAGTGGGAATCAGAGTATTTAAGGTCAGTGGTTAGAAAATCATCTATCCTGCTCATAGCACTACTAAGCGCCAGTACCCACATTTCTCTGAACACGTTCCTACATTTTGAGTTTCAAATTTTGAGACTAGAAAAACCAGCTCAATTGAATGCAGACCTTGAACTATTCTCACACAAATGTGCATAGTAGATTAAAATCCTAACAGCCAATATTTAAAAATTGAGTTGATTGCTTTTTCATGTTAGATAATAACCTTTTGGTTTTTGGTTGGGTTTGTTTGGTTTACCACCAATGGAAAGAAAAGCACAAAAAATGTTTTGAATTACAATACTTTTTGAGAAAAGAACACCAAAACCCCAAAATAGTACTCTCAAAATAACCAGGTAAATATTTTGTAATATTTTAAGATTCTACCTTTTATAATGTGAAGAAAAAAATCAATAGGAAAAGCCTGAAGCTTATACAAAGTGTGTACACATATGGAAAGGTTGAATTATTTCTGCTCAGGCTGAATAATATAAAAATTTACTGAATATGTGGAAGTATTTATTGCTATGATGGAGTGGATTAAAATTGATGTTGTAACATTGTATGTTTTTAATAAAATCAGAATATAAACAATAGTTTAAGATCAACATTAATAGTTACAGAGGTAAATAGCACTAGCTAACTTGAAAAAGCACACAAGATGAAATAAAACCAAATAGGTGCTTAATGTTACTAATAAAAACACAGTGCTTTAGTGTTTTTCATCAGTTTTGAGACAACTGTCTATAAGAAAACTCATTATAGCATATGAACTTCTGAGTACTGATTTACTGATTACAAGTTTTTGATCACCACAAAACTATTTCAAAGATAGCTAAATAAGATTTAAGTTATACCATGATAATAAACATTCACTTAATTATCTTTTTGTAAAGCTTATTAATTTGGATATCTTGATAATTTTTCCTAGTTTTTTTACTACAGTTTAAAAGAGTATGTTAATTACATTTAAATTTTTATTATGTTAGAAATTATAAATATTCTTTTATTAGATAACTAAAATAAAGTAATGTCTCATTCATTTTGTAATGTAATACTGAAGGCAAAAAGACATGCATAATTATAGAGTTAGGCAAACTTAGATAAAATATCTTTTAAAATTTTCAAACAAAACATATAGACAGCTTTTGTATCTATTTACTGATTTTCCTGCTTGCTATTTTGAACTGAACATTCAAATTAAGTCGAAAATTTAAATTTGATTTTGAAAAGTTATACTTTTTCTGAATTTTCTGTTTTTTTATTTTAAATGAGGGAAGTTAAGTAAAGAAAATTGGCTGGAACTTGCAACTCTTCTAAATGAGTCCCATTTATTCATTTGCCAAAAATGTAAAACAAATGCAATATATACTTTAAATATTCCTAAGAGATACTGCAACTTGTTTTAATTTACTTCAGTAAAATGTGGCAGACTGTAATGACCACTTTGGGACCTTATAAAAGGATATTGGACATTTACAATAATATACAATATGTGCTAATACTCTTGACCTAAAAAGTTTATGATGACATAGGAAATATATAGTCATTAAAAAGTTACAATTTTTTAGGAATGTCCATATAAATTGCCAACTAACTCAACTAACTTGCAGAATTCAATTTTTATCATTATTCTGTAATGTAAATATGTAAAAGTTAAGCTATACACATACTCCAATTTAATGAAAACATTGAAAGTAAAAATTCATAAAAATTAATTGGGTGACAATTCTTCAGACTTGCCCTTCTCAATCTGTTTTAATATAGCTAGTTATATTTTAAAATATCCATACATAACATTTAAAATAGTTAGAGCTTCTTTACATTTATGTGTATTCCATAAAAATTTTTAAGTGAACTTACATTCCTTTACAACTAATTCCCTAAAAAACAAAACAAAACAAAAAACAAAACACCAAAATATTTGCTTTACAAAAAAACATTAGCTGGTTGTTGTGTTTTCTCTGAATATTTTGCTAAAGAGAGGAAGGACAAAACAGACATCATGTTTAGGAACAACTGCCCACTAAAAACTGGATTTGGAAAATATAATCAAAATTCAAATTTGGTGAAATAACATTTGACTCAGCCTCATTAAAAAGGCAGATACGCTAAATCTTATTCTGGCTTTGCCACTAAACAGCTAAGGGGGCGGAACCAATATTATGACTGGCACTTATACGTGTCCTGTTTTATAATTTATGTTTTAGATGTACAAAACATACAACCACTAATACATTCTATTTCAAGATTCAACTCACATTAGGTGTAGAACTAAAGTTACAACGACGTGGTCAGCACACAGAAAGGAATACTTATGCTGCCAGCATACAGTTTTTAAATAATTTGTCTGGATTTACTCAGAAGTGTAATCCTAGCTTTATTTATGCAGAGACACCAGAGTTTTATTCAATCTTCTAATACATACCTGCCTTCCAGCTTCATTATTATGCAGATTCATTGCTAACAGTACTTTCCGGTCTTCTTCTGTGGTGTTTCTGATAGGCAAATCCAGGAACTTTCTGCTGAACCACATGCCATACTGGACATCATCAGAGCAGCCCCCCCAGTGCCAGCCTTCACTTGCAGAGCCACCATTCTGCAAGGTGGTGTCACAGGAACATTCTGTCATGTTGCCTGCACTGCACGACCTGGTCACAGAGTGCACCAGCCCTGCAGCCATCACAGCATAAATAAATGCTGTCTCCTTGGTGCCTAGAATAAAATATAAATTGCTAAATTAGGAAACCATTTCACTTTTTCTTTATTTTCTGAACACAACTCAAAAATCAGGAAGCGATTTTTCAATAGCCTTCGATGAATGTTTTAACGAGTACATATTTAGGAAGAGGTTTTTTTATGGTTCAAGTCTAAAAAAAAACATTCATTTTCAGTATTCCACTTGAAGAGTTTATTTTTCATAAACTGGCCTTAAATCTTAGCACTGTCTTTTTAAAATTTAAAATAAAATTAAAAAATTCAAAACCTTACTTAGAGTTTAATAAAAATAGCTCAACATTATGTGTTGAATTTTAAGTCTTTTACGAGAATACAGTAAGTAGTAGTAAAATGCTCAAATGAAACTAGATTACTTTCCCTTTTAAATGTAAAAGGAAACAGTCTGAAAATTTTGATGACAACTTTTGTTTGCATAAATCATATTTATCAGAATTGAAATTAAAATTATGCAAAGACCAAGGCAATTTATAGAGAAATGTTAGTTCAGTTTCACATTAAAAACTAGACTTTTCAGAAAAAAAATATTAATAGCAACCACTGGCCATAATATGAAGCTGTTAACATTTTATATAGTACTAGCTAATCCTTTTTCAATCTTAAAGAAAATGTAAGGTAATTAAAATGTCACTTTTAGAAAAAAAAAAGAAAAAAGTTATCATGGAAAAGTAAGTTTTTATTGAAACAGTTGTATTTAGCACTTCTGCAGTAGTAGTATTTGAGCCAAAATCTTTAAAAATTAAAAGTTCAACTAAAATATTAATATTTTAGCAGAAAAGAATTCAGCAGGCAACTATTCTCCTTTTCCCCTTTTTTTCCTTTCCAGATGTTTAGATTGGAGTCGAAACAGTTTCGTGTCCGTTGTCCAATAAACCTTTTCAACAGCTAATGCTTCCGGATTTCAGCAACTCTGAGGAGCACATCTTTTCCCCCTTCTTTTCTCTTTGCTCCCCTAGGGGATCGGGGCGCGCTTGCAGGGTGTGATACCAAAACGCGGGGCGGGGGCAAGTGAGCTTCGCCCCGGCGCAAATAGGGGAGGTGTGTGAGAAGGTCAAGGTGCAGCAAGAACAGAAATGAACTTGAACAAGGACAATGCATCTTTCAGCGCCCACGTCCTAAAACGCTTTGAATTTGCTGTTATTCCTGGAACAATCTTGGCTCCCTTTAACCTTTATCCTTACCAAATCCCTACGCATGCAAAACGAGAACTTTTTAGATTTTATTTTATTGCTGCTTCCCGCGCCGCAGGAGTGCACGAAGGGAGGGAGAGAAGGAAATGAAAACGGGGGCGAGAGCTAAAGTGATCCTGGTCAAGTTGGCTGCACGTTGGGTTGTCCGGAACAGAGCCTTTGTAATCGTCCTTATGTCAGCCACCCAGTGCTCCTGGGAGTCACCAACGTGGGGGCTTCTCTTCAATTTGCCACTTGTCCGGGGCTCGGTGCGCAGTGGAGCTGCTTAAATCAAAGCAGATGGGCGGCAGCCACACTCCCCGCTGCCGACCTCATGTTTCTGCAGCTGGTGCCTCACGCAGGGGGCGCTGCGCGGCCCGAGGGTCGCCCGAGGGAGGGTCCGAGATTTCCCCAGCTCTGGCGGCGCCGCGGGCAGGAGGGCGCACTGCGTGGCGGCCCTAGCGCGCGCGCTGTACTTGGGGAATCGCCCCCTGTGGGACGGCACCTGCGATCTCAATTCCAAGCACTACGCGGTCTTTTTCAAGATGCAGAGGGCTGCGGGACCACGCTAGCACTAGTGACTTTCTTGGAAGAAACTGGCAGAGGGATCATCGCCCTCGGTTCCCCGCCAACCCTCCAGGGTGCCGGGACTCACCACTGCTCAGCTCGTAGCCAAAGAGGGGACCGGTGCCGAGCACGGGGCCGGCGGCGACCTCGCAGTTCCAGCGCTCGTGCTTGAACTGACTCCTGCATTCCTGGATGCCCAGCCGGGCGCCCTCGCGGATGCTGGGCAGCAGATAGGGCTTCCTCTTGCACAGTTCCTTCTGGCGACTGTTTAGTGGCAAATTGGCGCAACCCAGCTTCTCCGGAACCCCAAAGGAGGCGATGCCCAACCACCTGTAACACAAGGCCGCCCCTAGCGTAAGCCACCTTCCTGCTCTCCTACCCAACCCAAATGTTTTCCCGAAAATTAGGTCCCCGCCCGAGGGTCTCCTCCCCACCTCTCCTGGCCTCAGTTGCAAGCTCCCCTGGGCTAGGCACCCCTTTCTCCACATTCCCCACGTGCCTCTGCAGACCCCGTACTCACATCCAGTTGCCTTGAGCTCCGCAGGGGAAGAGCGCGAGCAGGGCCGCCCACAGTGCGCACAGGCGGGGCAGGGCCAGGAGCGCCGCTCTGTCCATGGCCCCGCATGGAGTCCCTAGCCCCGGTTGCTCCTCTTTGGCCCGACCTCTCCAGAGGTTCGCAGGGCTGAGGTCAGCTCCCCAGCACCAAGTTGTCCCTCGTCCTTTCTCCTTGCCGAAAACATAAAACGACCACCAATGATAGTGGCTCTCAGCAGCCCCCAGACCCTCGTAAAATATGAAGAGATAGAAGCACTAACTTGGGCCCCTTCCCCTGCGCTGAGGTGCAGCTGTGCTGGAGATGCGGGAGCGTCTCTGGCTTTCCAAGGTGAGAAACTTCTGTAGATGTCTCAGCGTCTCCATCGCCCCCGGCTTCTCGCTTCTCCTCCCCCTGACCGCGCCTGGCGCCTGATTGGCCCAGCGGCGGACCCGCAGCTCATCATCCCGAAACCTCAGGCTCCCATTGGCTGAGAGTGGCCTCTGCGAGGGGCGCTTTGGGCCCGGGCTTCCCCGACAGCCAGTTCAGACAGAGAGGTGGGTCATGACCTTTCCTCCTGTCAAAGCCTCCTTGAAGCAAGTCGTGGCGGGGAGCTTGATTCAACCTGAAGACTGGTGGGAGAGTCTCTGTTTTAGCAATCCTGGGTGAACACAAGGGTTTCTTGGGAGACTTTTGGGTTGCGCCCACCCCAGCCTCATCTGGATACTCTCTGAAGTGGATGAAAATCTCCCCCTCCCCACTTTTCTCTCCATCTCTCAAGAGAATAATCTTTTGAGTCAGAGTTGGTACCAAACAAGTTGATCTTCCAACCACTTGGTGGAGAAGGCCCATGTACTTTAGAGAGTGGATAAGGTGCTGGGGGATTTAAACTCGTCATCATTTACTAAGCATTTGTTTTCAGAGAAAGGGGAGATTTCAGTTATTTAAACTAAAGTATTTCAGTTGTATTCAAGATTTTTTTTTTATTCTCCTGTTTGTCTGATTTCCTGTAGTCTTTGGCACTATCTGCCCAAGCAAAAATGGGGCCTAATGGGGCAAGCTCTAGAATAGATGAGAATTATGTTCTTACTCTTTACTACAGGCTTGCATTCACTCCAAGGAAGATTTTGCATGGGGCAACACTGAAAACCACCCCACCAACAACCAGTTTAGACATCAACTGTGTGCTCAGTTCTGCAGGAATTTACACAGATTCCCTTCCCTCAAGTGTACAAACCAGCCTGACGCAGAGAAGTCTGCAACGAAATAATTGGAACTTATTAAAAATGGAATGTCCACAAACTAGCAGAGTACTCTATGGGGCCAAAGGTACTCCAGATGCAGGAAATTTCCCAGCAACTGATCGTCTTGCAAGATTGGTTAACCAGGGTTTTAGAGGATGCAAGGTTTTTGGGAGCATTCTGAATGCAAGTGCAAAATGTTTAGCTGTGGTATTAACATATGTAGATGCAAGAAATGTTTCTGACAAGCACATCTGTCCTCCCAGGACTTCTGAAATGTTAGGAAACCCTGGAGGTGCGCATATCAGATGAGTCTGTACCCCAAACCAGTTCACTCACATACAAACTTTTGCTTTACATTCTCCGTATCTGCCCATAGCAATAGAAACTCCCTGAAATTCCCGTTTGGTCCTATTCACTGCTTTATCCAAATATTTAGTGAGTGTACACTATGTACCAGGTCCTAAAGCCACATTATAATTTTTACAAAGTCAAGTTGATGATAGGGTATAGTTACTGATCCGGAAATATTTTTGGCTAATGGCTAGTGGCCGCTCTGAAAATCAGAGCCTTCATCCAAGCTCACTTTACTCTGTGAGCTTCTCTAAGAGGGATCATGGTATATTCATGCTGTACCACTGCCATTGGGCCCAGTGAGTGAGATCTTGTTTTGAAGCACAATTTATTGAGTGGATTAACATGATGAGGAACATCCTGAGCAGATACCTAAGTGGCCTAAATGCTGGAACTAGAGACGTTTCTTCCTTGTAAGGGGAAGTGGAGGGGTGCAATCTTAGGATTAGGGGGAGCATGTTGGGGAACAAGAGTCCCTTAGGATGATTTTAGGCCAACAATGACAAACGTTTCAAAGTGGCTGTTTAATTTTTTTTTCATTCAAAAGTACATGCCAAGCTTCTGTTATGGATTAAAAAAAGAATAGCACTGAGTTCCGTGGTCTCAGAGCTCATCATTTACTTGGCAAGACACACAAGTGAACATGCAATGACAGCGCAGTGTAATATATATGGGAAATACAAATGCCGTAAACACACACAGGAAGATTCTTTAATGTGGTCTTGGATGCAGAGAAAGAGGTCACTTGAAGTCTTCTTTTTTAAAAATTATTTTCAGGATTTAATACCGTCCAAAAGCTTTTGAGAGAACAGAGCACATTATTCTTAGAGTCTATAATCACTGAGTCAAACATTTTCAAATCTAAGTCCTGTACCTGTTTTATGACTTTACAATTCATTCCTCCTCTGCTTCTGAGCAGTTGCATATTTTTTTCTTCTCTACCTCTAAAGCAAAGGAAACCAATTTTCAGAGTGGCTTCTGTTGAAGTAGGTTTTTCATTCAATTAAACAGCCACTTGAGTGCCTGTCAGACATCATGAACTTCATACACTTAGAGCCTATTGTGTGCCCCAAATTCTTACTGCCAACCTCTCTCATATCTTTCTTTCTCTCTCTCTCTCTCTCCATACACAAAAATTCCAACTCTTCCCCCAACCAATGCTAATGTTATAGATTAGAGAAATTAACTTTTTCAGCTAATAAGTAGAAAAGCTAAAACTTAATCCTACTTTAGAGGTCCTGTCCGTCTTCATACTGCTGCATAACCGAATGGAAACCACTACTTTTTTTTTTAAACCAAATCTCTCATCACTAGGCCCTGTGGTTGAAAATTTTCTCATCTGCATCTCATAGCTCTTCACTGTTATTTCTATTGAAAATTGTCCTGTTTTATGAAGATGAACAAAACTCCTTGGAGGAAATCTCCTGAGGAAGTTTTGCTTAAATGGATCTCTCTGAGCAGGTAGCAGGCTGCATGGATGCATTTCATTTTCCCTCTCTTTGCTGTGTGTGTGTGTGTGTGTGTGTGTGTGTGTGTGTGTGTGTGTGTGTGTGTTGTGGGTTGGGAGGAGCCATGTAAAGTACTGTGTCTGGTTATGTGAAATCCTAGTCAGCAGCTGATAACTTTCAGTGATTTGTTTCAACTTAGTGCTTCCATTTTCTCATCTGTAATATTAGTACTTGCTCTCTTTCAGGTTTGAATCTCTTGGTGCAGTGCTGAAGGCCTGAGGAAGAAGGGAGGTGCATGTGGTTACATGGGGCTGAGGGTAGGAATTGGGGAAGAGCACCCTGCATTTGCTAAAGGATTTCAGAAGGGGGAAACCCTTGCCACAGCAATCTGGAGATAGGGTGTATCCCCAGGGGATAACAGATTTGGGTGTGTTTTTTTTTAAATTTTAATTTTGTATACTCCACCCCGCATTTGCTTCTGGATTTCAGTGAAAATGAATTACGTTCATTGAAATCTTTTTAAATGGTCAAATTATAACATATAATAAATTTGTCAAATTATGCTAGAATATGAAAGTGAGGAACTCTTTCATAATCTGATTTACATCAACTTATGGAAAGCAGTCCTTCTCCACAGTTATTAGTAAGCTTTATGCTTTTCATTTAGACTTGAAGGATAAAGTAAAGCACGGGTTAAATTCAAACTTCAATCTGCATATTTCAAATTGTTTATCTCTTTAGCCACAAACAGAGGCTTCATTTCCTATTTTAAATTTTTGGTTGTGTGATTTTTTTAAGAAGCACAAAATATTAGATCAGTAGAATAAAAATGTTTTAAACACTATGCTATTAGTTATTCAAGAAATGAGGAAATATTGTATCATTTCTACATCTGAACTCAGCTACTCCAAAATGCAACTAATGCTGTGAAGAACAGCACCATGGGATTCAAGTTTTCATATCTCCAAAGCATCTGTGAATTCTTGATTTCACAAAGGGAACATACACTTGAACTTGTTTTCCTATAAAGGAGGAAGGTGTTTTGGACTAATTGGAAAGAGGACGTAGGAAGTGAAGAATCAGGCTTCACAAATATTCTTGAAATTTCTTTTTTTTTTTTTTTTAAGCAGTCAAATTTAGCAGTGGGGGATGGTATACCAACTTTAGTGACACTGATGTTAATAAGTTCTGATAACCCACTGCCATCGGACCAGCTTGAAATTTCACTGAAGGAGCTCACTCCAGGTTCTGAGCCTGTGACTGTGGCCATCTCTGACCAGCTTGGATGACCGAACCAGGTAAGTAGTGCGCCCACAAAAAATTCCACCTTCCACCCAGACAGTTGCCAGGCAAGCCTATAACTTGTGTTGGTTTTCTCTCAGGCCCTGGGAAACTCAGCAAAAAAGTCTGCCTGCACAGATATGCCTTGGACTCTGCCTCTGGCAACCCATCAGAGGACGAGACTTCTAAGAGCCCAGTTGTAAGAATTTCTGCTGCAGATCACAGGACTTATGCACTGGAAACTGATACCAGCAGCACCCCAGCTGGCCTTAACTCCCACGGTAGAACAGAAGACCAGAGGTGACTTTTTGCATAACTGGGTTCCCATCCATTCTATTTTAAATTCCACCTGGATGGCGCAAGTGTGGGACAGAGCACAGGCTTGTGACCACTGGCTCTCGGAAGGGGTGAAGAAAGGCATTCTGTATGCCCTGCTATCGTTTGGTGGCTCAAGAAGCCTGAGAGAATGACTGGCTCAGGATAGTAAAGGAGACAACAGCAATAGTCTCAGGAAAAAGAGCAGGAATTGAAAACATTAGATGATGTCTTGCTATTTAAATTTCCACAAGTACAAAATTTTTTTTGTCCTAGAACTTAGGGTTGAAGAAGCCTCATAAAACTAATAGAAACTGGCTTATCTCTTGAACAACATCTCCCTACCAACTTTTTAAAAAAAAAGTAAAATTTTTAAAAAGTACTCTGAAATTTGGAAAAAAAAGTGGCTCATCTCAAGTATTATTTATAGGCACTGTGCAATCTTTTCAGAATGAGGGAACAAGAGTGAAGCCAAGATTGCAAACAAGAGTGACCACTGTTGTCCAGAGGACACAGGTAAGGAAACACAAAACTGAAATACATGGAAGGATAGATTCTTTGAATATCCCTTTAAACAAAAGTTTCTGAGTTTTTCAAAGTAAAGCAACTTCATCAATTAGTAAATTATTGCCAGCTTTAATAAGGTGTTAAGAAGACACCTTCAGCAATCTGGAATTTACATTTTTAGAGTAATAATTACAGAGTAATCCATGGGCTACCTATAAGA